CAACGCCAGATTACTTCACACACAATGATATGATTGTACAATTTCAGTGCTAACCAAAGAGACGAACACAGAATTGAACAATCACATACATTTGGCTTAGTTCTAATGAAACCAAACTCTGTCCATTTCATCACTGTTGCTTCTACCTTCTACACTTGTCAAGGTCTTGTATGGCTCCATACACTGAGATTCTTGTGCAATTAAGCCTTAGCTTAGTAGATTGTAAAAAGTGTGTGGTCAGCTTAAAAGGCAAGAGGCCACTAGATATTTACGTTTTAAGAGTCAGTAACCTAAAATACAAGATACTGGTCCAGTTTACAGATAACCTAAAATCACAAAATGTTTTTTTTGTGGGAGATGGGGAGAGCAACTTTCAGGTGACACCCTGTGCAGTAATGCCATTTGAACTGAACATTTTGGCCTTGTATAAAAGCAGTATGTGCAGCAAACGTTTCCAAAACATCCATTAGGCTTTTAGTAGCTTTCTCAAAGCATTTGCAGCTCTATTCAGCCCCAAATGGAAAAGTTAAATGTGGATCTTACTGTGAGTACAGCCATTTAAAAAAAAAAAACTTCTATCAGGTCTTCGCACTTCTGAAAGCTTGTTGCATGTTTAAAGTGACAGTCCCTACTTCCATTAGGGTCTATGTTTAATATCTCCATAGTGAAACTGAAGATTCTTTTTAAAGCTTCAACAAAGCTATAGCAAAGAGTATTCCTGAAAAGTTTCCAAAGGTTTGCTGTACACACTTCTCCTATACAAACTGATGCTTGTGTGCACAAAGATTAGGCCTCCTTGACACGTCCATTAAGATGCAGTCACTGTATTTCAGCAGCAAGAGTCAGTGGATTCTTGTGGCTAGAATGACTGGGGCATGCGAAGAGCAGCTGATTGCATCCATGCTATCCCTAACTGTAGGTAAGTGCTTTGTGTACGGCTACATGTTAACAGCGGCAGCTACGGTCAGCCTATAATTAATTTATCTGGGCTGAGAGGCCACTGCTATTCAAATGCCCCAGTTATTCCAGCTGCAAGAGTTCACTGATTCTTTCCACTGGAATTCTGTGGCTGCATCTAAAAGGCAGTGTTAAGGAGGTCCACGTCCCTGTGCATTTACTTGCAGAGTGTGTGAATGTGAGCTCCACATATACACAGCAATAAATGAAATGTATCATTTGCATGGCAAAGCCCTTTCTAGCACCTAAGGAAGTGCAGAATATTGGTTTGGACATGCAACGTACAACTCACTGCTCCTCTGTACAAGCACTAATAGCATTCACTCTGCTACACTTATCCTATTAAGCAAATGTTTGAATCCTCTTCTATAAATGTTTTATGGCTTCTTATATATGGTAGATAGTGTTTAGATTTTGTGACCCTTTATCGGTATAATTCACCAACCAAGATTATACATTTGTGATAGACGCAGGTATATAGATATCAATGGCAATGTTCATTATGGAGACATGTGCAATATACTGCACATATTTTACAGAACTTGCAAAAATAAAATTGATTACTGAAACCAATTATTAATCCTTATATTTCTTTTTCAGTTTGGACCACCAAATGGCCACCCAATGTAAATTACAATATGCATGGCAATATACATTGCCTACAGTATAGTTGAAAATAATTTGTATCTATAAAAATAATTAATAATCATATCTCAAACATTTTTCTTTTCAGTCATCTGATAATTAAAAAAGAAATAAAATAAAATAAAGTAGCAGGGTTCAACCATTTTGTTTGCCTGGAAAGATCACTGGTGCTTGTTACTCTATTACTCTTTTTAATATACAGGAGTATTTCTTACAGTGAAGTAACAAGCCACTGGCAATTCAATCTCTGCAGTCCTTTATGGACATATGCAGAGTACAAAGTGCTTTTTACAATGGTAGCATGAAATAATTGTGATTAAAATTTATTGTGTTTTTCCATTCAGCTACAAATTGTTCTTGCTTTCCATCAGGTTGTTTCTTGGAACAACTGCAAGTCATCCCCTGACAATCATCACTATTGATGAGATTCCTTTCCTTTCCTTTTCTGTGAAGGTTCTCATTTATCCAGGCCATGGTATAGCTAGTAGCTGGTAATCAGATTCAACTGAACTTGTTCTGAGGATGTTTCAGCACTCATTAAAGTAGATTTCCAAGTTATTCATGTAGGTAAAAATTCTGGGGTATGTTCCAGACACTCATTAGAGCTGAGGAAGCTACTTGGATTTGTGGTAAAACATGTTCAACATTACGGAACAAGTACAACTGAATAATACAAACCATTACCAGCTCCCCCCTCATTGCTAATAATGCAGAAGAAACCAGAAAAGCATTATACTTCAAATGACTGTGGAAACATCTCAGGAAGTAAGGTGTGGAGAGCTAAATGTCAGAAAAGTGAAGCTGTTTTCGATCACGTCTTAGCCCTGGTTCACACCAGTGTGGCTTTGAAATCAGGCTACTTCAACGCAAATTCAAAACCGCAGATGAGTACAATTTGGATGTTCAGTGTTATTGTGGCTTGAGACTTCATTCAACAGAAGTCAACGCAAGCCACGATAAAAATCACAGAAAAGTAGTGCAGGAACCTTATTAAATTACTGCGACTTGGGGCACAACCATTTGAATGGTTCCATTGCCACAAATGGGGTGTGAATGTCAAATCGCGTGACAAAACAAATTGGTGTGAACTAGGGCATGAGCAGTATAAAAGGTATACTGTAATTGGGCGGCTTTCCCAAGAGTGGTGGCACAAGATCGGTTCTTTGCTTGAGTAGGGACTGGGTATGCAAGGAGGAAAGCACAAAAGCAGCGTGTATAAAATCCAGATTTCATTTTATTCAGATCAATACACACTTTGTTCAACAGCCCTGATGAAAGGGACACTCTGAACCTCTGAAATGTGTTGACTTGCTATGATAAGAGTCTGAACAAAATTAAATCCGGACTTTAGATGTTCTGTTTTTGACAATTTCCTCCCTGTACACCCAGCACTGCAGAAACATCTGTCATGGCACAGCTTGCACTTCTTTAATAAATGACTTAACTGGAAGCAAGAGCAATCCAAAGCTGCAAAGAGAAACACTTTAAAGATCATCAAAGCTTATTACTCTTAAAGTAGAACTATAGTGAAAACTTTTTTTTTCAGGTTGGATAGAGTAAGGGAGGGTTATAACCCCTGCCAAGATTTTGTTTTCGCCATCTGTTGCGGAGATTACCCTTCACTTCCAGTCCCATAGTCAGACAGGAAGTGAGAGAAAATCCCTGCAAATTATGGTAATTTCTTGGGGACACCCAGGACACCAGTACTAGTGTCCCCATTGGAAGATTTCCCCTCTATTACTTTTCTGGTGACAACCCAAAATTTGTTATTTTCACCCCTTCATGCCGGCACCTTCCAGCCCTTTAAGGGGTTTCTGCCGACAGGAGGCGGGGGGGGGGGGGTTATGTGACCGACGTGATTACGGCAGTCACATGATCGAAAAGGTCCCAATTGCAAGGAGAGATTGGGACCTTTCCATGGAACGCCGACACATGTGCTGGGAGCACGAAGGGTGCGCACTCTCAGCACGTTCATTTACAATTGGTACGCCAATATGCATCCGCTCGGCGTCAAGGCCCAGATGTATTTGCGTACCTGTTGGGGTGAAGAGGTCAATTTACTTTCATTTTCAATGATAATGGTAAACAGGACACATAGAGAGGGTGAATCTCCTTAATGGGGGCACAGACAGCAATAAAAACTGACAGGTGTTCTAATCCCTTTCCACTCTATCCAAAACTTTGTCACGTTGGGCAAATGACCCAAAATAGTAAAAAGAGAGGGCACACTGGCCATATTATCTTCACATATTTAGGTACTAGGTAATTATATGACGATATTAAAAGCATTATGTAAGGGAGGGCAAAAAATCAAAAGCTAATTTGCCTGAATACACATTATAATATCAATTTTATATTACAATCAACAAAATGTTGATACCCTGCAGAATTATTTTGGCCATAAAATATTAGGATAATAAAACAGTTCTTACTAAAGAATTCACAATTTGATTAAGGATAATTAAATAAAAGTGTTGTGTACTATCACTAAAACTCTACACATGAGCATCTATTTAAAAGGGCTGGTTAAATGTTGTGATGTGGCCACTGCATAGCAGCTGAACAAGCCAGAGACAAAAAAAACAACAAGTGGACAGGAGAGCAGTACAACTGACATCCATTTGTAACAGGTTGCAGAAAAAGCAGGGAGGAGAACTTACATACAGCAGAAAATAAATTAAAATAGTGTCATGGATGGCAAAGAGCAAGTAAAACGTGCAGTTTGTGCTTTTGAGAGCCCAGCAGAACACTGTATGGCTCAATCTAGTGATAAGGAAAAGGTGAAAGTAGCCAGTCAGCCTGCTGCAGAGCCCAGTATGCTTCTTTAGTAAACAGAGATTAAGCATGCTGGGAGCTGCAGTCTGTATATTGCCAAGCTACTGGTTATACTGATTCTTCAGAGGCTATTTTGCACTTTGAAGTCCATGAGGCAACTTTTTATATACAAGTTAGCATGAGATGACCATGACAACCTCTTAATCAGCAGTGATATGTATATATGTACATATATACATATAAGAAAGTATATATGTACAGAAAGTACATATGTCGGTGGATAAATACATTTCAGACTTTTCTTGCCATTCTTGATATATATACCTTAGTAGATTCTCAGAGATCCATAACTCCCTTACCACACCTGAGGGGTACAGAGTTAAAGCCAGGATGCAGAACAGACAAGGGGAGATGGTTTCAAACCAGTGCAGTGTGTAAGACAGGGTGAACATGATGGTTTGTTTCTTTTATAGGAAATAACAAATATACATTTTATCTCTAGCTAGCTGTATGCAGTCTAAAATGTAAGGTTGTCTGAGGATATGGGAAGTGCCTTTGAGGTGAAAAACAGCAGATACAGGTCTGCCGATTATGGTATTGTAATAAAAAATGGCTAAAACATGCTAAATCATCCTCCGTCTTCTGTTCTTAGCAGGACGACCAGGCCTGTTTTGCCGGACAATGGGACGCTCAGCCTGTGAAACAACAAAAAACAACGCTCAGTCTTTCTAACAAGTCAGATACAAGTGGGTCATAATTCAGAATTTGCGGTTCATGCTGCAAACCTTGTAAATATACAGCGGGTAAAATAGGCATTGAACCCGTCACTATTTTTCCTCAGTAAATATATTGCTAAGGATGCTATTGACATGAAATTTTCACGACATGTTGATAACAATCCATGCAATCCATACACACAAAGAAACCAAGACAAATGAGTTCAGAAATTATTGTTATGTGTAATAAACTGGAATTACAGGGAAACGTATTGAACATGCTAACTGAAATGTATTTAATACTTCGTACAAAATCCTTTGTTGGTAATGACAGCTTCAAGACATCTCCTGTATGGAGAAACTAGTTGCATGCATTGCTCAGGTGCAATTTTGGCCGATTCTTCCTCACAAATAGTCTTCAAATCTTGAAGGCTCCGTGGGCATATTCTATGAACTCTGATCTTTAGTTCTTTCCAAAGATTTTCTAATAGAATCAAGTCAGGTGATCGACTGGGCCATTCTAGCAGCTTTATTTTCTTTCTTTGAAACCAACTGAGTTTCTTTGGCTTTTTGTTTGGGACATTGTCTTGCTGAAATGTCCACCCTCGTTTCATCTTCATCATCCTGGTAGATGACAGCAGACTTTTATCAAGAATGTCTTTGTACATTTTTCCATTCTGCCTTCTTTCAATGATATGAAATTTGCCAGTATTGTATGCTGAAAAACAGTCCCACACCATGATTTTTTTTTTTTTTTTTTTTTTAAAAGGTTGAACTGGATGGACTTTTGTCTTTTTTCAAACAGACTATCTATGTAACTATGCTTTCAGCTCCAAACTTTTACATTTGACCTCCAAACATGGTGTGTATTATGGCATCCAAAGAGTACAATTTTGGTCCAATCTGACCAGACTATATTCTCCCAGTATTTCCAAGGCTTGTCTAAATGATGATATTACCATTGATAATGTTAAAGGCAGGTCCAAAGAGGCATTGTCCTAAGATCAAGAGGGTTAGGCGCTCCTTGGATGCAGTGTCTGCATCCCAGCGATTTAGCCGGAGTGCTCTGGCTAAACCAAGCAATCCATATGTTGAGAGGCTTCCGGCACACCATCAAAGACAAAGCGTAAAACCTAGACATCCGCTCAACTAGGAAGGAATCCAGGTGCAGTGGAGAAATCACTTTGAGGAAATTAACTCATTCTGAGACCATAAGAAAAAAATGAAGAGGGGCACTCAAAGATCAAACATGCAACAACCGGGTGGCTGCAATGCTGTTGGGTGCCAACATTCAACAGGGCTTGTCCAGCCTGCCGAACCAAGTAGCAAACAGAATAGGGAGCCGCATATTAGTTGCCAATCCAATCACCATGTGTAGAAAAGCAACTATAGCTCATCTCCTTCCAAGCGACTCTTCTTGGTGCGTTTCACCCTTCCACATACTTAGTCACTGAGGTATCTATGACCAAACATATGGGAGGGTAAAAAGAGTCAGTGTGGCATGGCTTGGGAGGAGACAAGCTGAAGCTGTTTTTTTTTTACACATGGTGACTGGGCCAGCAATTGGTGTGTGCCTCCCTATTCTCTTTAATTTTTAATTAGCTAATTCTGCCTGAGTTTTACAGATTAATGTCACAGCTAGAATAGGGTGAAGATTGAGGCCTTGCCGCAAAAACTGGGTTTTAAAGGGGGATTCCAAATTTTGATCTGTACAATCCTTGAATGCTAGGACCCCCTACTTTGTGGCTTCCCAGATAAAGTAGGTGACTGGCAGATTCATTCTGGATGTAGATCACGGTTTAGAAAAATCCTTCCCAGATGGGAACAAATACTCAGGGTGTCCAAAAAGTGCTTTCAATTCCCATAGAAGAATATTTTGAAAAGCGATGTAATGGGAAAGTATTTGCACCTCTGAAAGACCCAAGTCTAGTGAGAACAGGCTTATCCTTTTAATGCAAGGTAGTACCTATGGCATCCTTAAGAGCTGAAACGGTCTCTTAAAAAATTGATTCAATAGCAGAAGACTGCGGCTGGGTGGAGGTTATGCAACTAAGCTCTCGGTATGAGGCAAACCTCAGACACTCAGAAGAAACTGAAACAGCTGAAGGTGACGAAAGGCGCAGTAGATAGGCAATGGTAATGGAAGCAGAGTTCAAGTTGGTCTTTGCAATGCATGTGCAGCAAGTAGGGAGATGCTTCCCAGTGGAGAGCACCCAGTGTGTAAGACACTTCTCACACTGTAAATGAAGTTAGTGCTCAGTTCCTTTGCATTAACCCCTTCTGCAGTAGAAACTGTTGAAGAGTGAGAATTCTGAAAGACTCAGCATTTCATATGATGACGTAGCTCCTGATGCACTGTCTTAGTTGCCTACAAACACGGCGTCTTCCAAAACAGGGCAAGCATGAGGCAAGGCCAATGGCTCTGGACCTGGAAAGTACTCTACGGTTCATTTGAACAGGGGTCTTGAAGGTTCCTTACGTGAAGTGAAAGGTCACTTACAGGCTAGCCTAACAATTTCCAATTCAGTGGGGTCTAGCCAGAGTGCTCTAAAGCTAGACAGAGAAAAGGCCACTCTGGATAGCTGCCATGTAGATTTCAGCTCGAGCAGTGATGGAGAGAGAATCTTGACTGAAGTAAAACTGAAGAATTGCTGAAAGCAAAAAATGTAAAGTCTGACTTTCTAGCAGAGCTGAAAAATGTTCATCCTCCTAGCACATTGGCAAAAAAACAGAGGCCTGCTGGAAGCAAGAGGGTAACTAGGGTGGCCTACAGATTTTTTTTTTTATTTGCCAGTGTCCAATTCTCCTGTAAGCAGCAAAATAACTTCACAGTATGACTTCCTGTGTCTCTTATTGGAAGAGAAAGAATTCCTATCTTCTTTCCCCTCCACCGAGGGACACAGAAGTCCTTAAAGTGCTATTAACCCCAAAAGCAAACATTTATTTTATTGCCATTTACCAATTCTTTTGCCAGTAAAATGTTTATTAACTGCTTAAGGACCGCTCACGGTACATTTACTGCAACAGGGAGGCCCCTGTGCGCAGGATCACGTGTATATATAAGTGATTCTGCATTTCCTGGTAGGGGGTACGTGCGTGAGCCGAGCACGCACCCTACTCGCGCCGCCGATCGTGTCTATCACTGGGTCACCGACAGGAAGGAGGGCTGCATTGTTTACCAACAGCCCTCCTCCCTGTCAGTTTGGGCACACTGCTCTAGATGGCTGAGCAGAGCAATCCAGACCAGTGACATCACACAGTTAACCCTTTGATTGTCCCTCATGTTAACCCATTTCTGCCCAGTGCCATTAGTACAGAGTCAGTGCTTTTTTTCTTTTTTTTTTAGGACTGATCACTGTATTGGTGTCACTGGGGTTGTCAGTGACACCAAGTCAGTTCCCCCCTAGTGTCAGAATACTTGCCGCAGTCCCGCAATAAGTTGCTGATCGCCGCCATTATTAGTATATATAAAAAAAAGATTCCAGTATCTATACCACTATTTGTAACCATTATAACTTTCATGTAAACCAATTAATTTACACGTATTGAGATTTGTTTTTTTAGCAAGGACATGTCGCAGAATACATTTTGGCCTACATTTATGCAGAAATTTGATTTTTAAACTTTTTTACTGGACATGTTTAATGGCAAAAAGTCCAAAATATTGTTTTTTTTTCAAAACTGTCGGTCTTTTTTTGTTTATAGCGCAAAAATAAAAAGTGCACAGGTGATCAAATACCACAGAAAAAAAGCTCTATTTGTGTGAAAAAGGACTAAATTTCATTTGGGTACAGCATTGCATGACCGCGCAATTATCAGTTGAAATAGTGCAGTGCCGAATAGCAAAAAGAGGCCTGGTCATTAAGGGGGGTAAATCCTCAGGATGGCAATTGGTTAAAATGTGACACAAAGTACAGTTCAATAGCAAAAGAATACATTAATTAAATATACAGAGGAGCTGTGGTAATAGCGACCTGGATATACAGTGTCTTGAAAAAGTATTCTTACCCCTTGAAATTTTACACATTTTGTTATGTTACAACCAAAAACGTAAATATACTTTATTGGGATGACACTCAATCCAATGACCCACAGCAATAACCCCTTCTGTATCAAAAAACACTGAGAGCAAGAAATAAGGTGCTTAGCAACCTATGCAAATGAAGTAGCTTATCTTAGTGCGCAGCATGACTGGCCTGCTCTTTAAGTGAGTCTTCAGAAAGAGGGCAAGTGCTAGGGCATTGCCAGAAGCTGTATCTAGAAAAATCCTTAGAAGTTATCTTTTAGCAGAACAGAACTGGAAAGCACCCCAAGCTAAACCCAGTGACCAAAGGTTATTTCCAGGCTATCCCCCTAATGCCCAGCACAGCCTAGACACAATACTCCAAAGGCCAGCTTGGAGATGACCTCACCAGAGAGCTATAATCAAAGAGAAAAAGTTCTAGCATCAAAGTAGAGAAGAGTCTTGAAAAATAACTGAAGAAAATGCTAGCAAAAATAGGTCAGTCTTTAAAAGCAGAGCTGAAGAAAAGAAACCTTCCAGGGCACTCGCAAAAAACTGACTCATGCTGGCAGTAGGAGGGGTTACCTTGAGCTGGCCTACAGTTTATTTGCTTGCCAGTCTCAAATCCCCTGACCTGAAAAGAAAAATGCCTTTTGTCTTGTTTCTGAAACTCATGATCATGGCTTTACTATGCTTACAGGATCTGGCCTTGGCAAATTCAAGTAAACCTATGAGAGAAACAATGGAACATTTTGTCCTAAGGCCCCATTCACACTTGAATAATGCATCTTTTCAAAATTTTCAAGCATTGAATGGGCTGCCTTACATGCGACAAATGCCTTTTTGGTTGTAGATTGTAGCACGTTTTTTCAGTGCGTGTTTTGGCATAATTGTAGCACATATTTTGCTGCGTGACAAAACGTGCAGGAAAAATATGCGTCTGCTACCTGCGCTTGGGGTGCTATTAACAATTAATGGCACTGCTAGCACAACCCATGACTGCAGTGCATTTCAGAAACACACGCAGCTCTTTATCATTTTGTTGATTTCTAATAGTTTGTTACACAAAATTACATAATGATGCAACACCTCGTGGTAGATGGGATTCCTAATAGAGCTGTTATAAACATATGTATGGTAAAGTTTGAAACCAGTGTAAAAAAAAAAAAAAAAAAAAAAAAAAAGGACATACTGGGCTCTGATAGTTGCGAATTGCCGACTTCTTTGATGGAAAACTAGGAGAAACACTTACATTTAATCCATTAGCGGGATCCACACTTGACCACTTTGCAGGGACATCTTCTAGGCGAGAATTCATCCTCTGTGAACTATAATCATAACAGGTATCAATACATGAACCACTACAATTTATAGATGTCAATGCCCTTAAAGGAGAGCTCCAGGCATCATGCCCAAGCAAAATATACTGTTTGATGTGTTGCTGGGAAACAAATATTCCATCAATTTGTCCTTATCAATAATAAAGCCTGCCTCAGCCTCCTGCATTCATACATTTTGGACAACAAACTGTAAATTACAATAATACATTTTAATTTGCAAGTAAACCCTCCCTGTTTCTGGGAAATTGCTATTAGTTGATGTGAAGGGTGTGCAATAGTCAGTGCAGAAACTGTTGCCACTTTAATAAAATGACATATCATTTAGTTGTGTGCTCTAGACTTTTTTTTTTTTTATTTTAATTGTAAGGCCTCTTTCACACTGACGGTCCGATCGGGTCTGCCTGTCAGTTTTTCCTGGAGCAGCAGGTCCGCTGACACCCACCAGCATCTGATCCTGTACGCTAAAAACAGACAGATGGGGATCCATTCTGTCCAGCGGATTGGATGACAGTCGGGTGGAAATGGACAGGCGGTCTGTTTCCATCCAACCATCCCATAGAAAATAGTGGGCTGTGTCTGTTCTACAGCAGCAGAGTGGACACAGACCTGTCATCCACTTTCTTAGCAAGGAACAGTGGAGAGATCTCACGCTGAGCAAATGGATCCGCTGACAGGTCTGCCCCGTCTGAAAGGGGCCTTAAGTTCACTGGAGTTGCTTAAACATGCAGCTGAAAACAAAGAGATAAATATTTTAGGTAAAAGCAGATATGGGACTGTGTGTAATTGCCTGCTTTCCCACACCTGCTTAAAAAAATGTGCTGCTATTAGCAGACTTGCAGGGATGGCATTAATTCTGAATAGCGCCCACCTTGCACTCGCTGGAAAACATAGCGTGTTTTCCCATGTGGAGAACCACATATCATGATGCGGTTTCCCTGCAGCATCAATTTTGGAAAAGGTGCAGGGATCACCATTCAAATGGTGTTGCTGTGCCCGCACATGTGCAGCCGCAGGAAAACTGCAATAGTGTGAACCTAGTCTAACAGTGTGCGCATAACAATAAAGAAGAAATTTGTATTTTTATGTAATATGTCTACGTGAGGGAACATGTGTAAGAAGAATAACAGGAATTTTGTCTTACTGGTAAAATCTGTTTACAAAAGTGCAGTACAGGACACAGGCTTCTTTAAATCATTTTGACTGGGTTATATGCAGTTACTATGACATGATTGGACACTGGCCAAGAAAAAGGCTGCAGTATACAATCCATTCACATTCCCAGCTAGCCTCAATTTTGTAGCCATTAATAGGAAACTCATAATAACAGAGGGGAGGGTTGTGTGTCCTGTACTGTACTCCAGGAAACAGATCTCACTGGTAAGTCAAAAATTCAATTTTTCTGATCTTACAGTACAGGGGACAGGCATCTTTAAATAACTACGACTGGGACTTCCAAAAGATGTCCAACTGAAGGGTGAGAAAAAAAGCAACAAAGCCAACAGGCTCACATAACAAACAAGTCAAGAAGTCTGGACATACACTGAGAGCAGCTTGAGGCATCTTATACTTGGTTGAACTTAACAAATGTGCGAACCAAAAGCCAGAGGAAAGCCTAGCAAAATCTAAGGTACAAATGCCTGATGCTGAAATGCTCAAGAAGCGCTAACAGATCTGGTAAAGTGTGCTTTAATAGGGAAATGAGAGACCCTATTTTTCAAACTATAGGCTTTGATGATAATTTATCTAATCCACCTGGAGAGACAGGTAGTAAGACCCTTACGAAAGCACGAAGAAGCAATCAGTTTACCAGAGGTAAACTCTCACAGCACACACTACATTCAGGCAGTGCAGGGAAATTTTGAGATGCTTTGTTGCAGGACATGCAGAAGGAAGGACAATAACCTGATTAAAGTGGAAAGCAGAGACCACCTTTGAAAGAAAGGAGGCCTCAGGCTTCAAGACATCCTTGTCCTTAATGCAGCACTAAGAAAGACTTGTTACAGAATAAGGCTATTAACACAGGGACAATCAGAGGTGATAGGCACAAGTAAGCCACCTTACAGTTAGTTAGTCTAGGGAATATTACTGATAGGTTCAAAGAGCGACTTCTGAAGAGGCAGGGGAATTAGACTGAGATCCCAAGGGGGTCCCATAGATTACTTTCTAGAATGAAAGTTGCTGGACTCCCATCAAGCAAAGCAGGCCTTCCTGGTGGAATGGTAGTCAATCACCAAAGCATCCACTGTGAAGGGCCAGAGGTCCCTGGACCAGGCAACAAATCTGTGCACTTTGCAACTGAACCCAGATGTCAGGAGGTCCACATCTGGCATTCCCTGCTTTTGACAAAGGGCTTGAAAGGCCTCCGGATGGAAAGCCCATTTCATTTGATTCAGAAGCTGATGGCTGGGAAAGTCAAACTGACAATTTTCCACAACTGGGATACGGAAAGTGGACAGAGCCAGAATGTGACGTTGTGTCCAAGAAGAATCAACTCTGCTTCCTTTAGAGCGGTGCAATTTCTGGTGCCTCCTTAATGGCTGATATAGGCCATGACAGTCTCAAACTGTATTCTTGTTGGGTGCCTTCACAAATAGAGGAGTCAAGCTTTGAATGGATAACAATCTCCCCAAGCTCTAGAATGTGAATTGGAAGGCAAACCTCCTCTGACAACCAAGTCTGTGGCACCAAGAAGATGTTCAGGACTGCTCCCCAGGCCGACAAACATCCACAACTGTGCTTACAGAATTCTATTGCCAGACTGAAAGTCCACCACGCTAGAGAGAGTCTAGCCTTGAGGTTCAGATATATTGTGCAGTTCAAGGACTGAGTCAGTTTGTTCCATGCTGCAAGAACGTAGAGTTGGAACAGTCTGGAGTGAAACTGGGCAACTTGCACTACCTCAAAGAAAACTACCATTACACCCTCATGAAAGCACAAAACGAGGGCTTAATCAGGGTCCTGGCATGAGAATTAAAAGACAGAAGTTTGTCTCAAGGCAGAAAGGTTCTGAGGAAATTCATGTCCAGCTTTCAGACCCAGGTACAGCAATCTGAGAGATGGTTCCAGCGGCAGCTTCTGTAGGATGAGGATCAAATTAAAGTTCTGCAGAACCTGTGCCATCCAGTGGATGTTGGCTGAGAGTGAAAGAGAGCACCGATTCTTTAAAAGGAGATTGTCCATGTACCCCACCAACCTGGATCTCCTGAGAACAAAGCAGAGCCAAAACCATGGCAAGCACCTTGGTGAAGACCTGGGAGTTTTGCAGAGGACAAAAGGAAGAGCAACAAACTGGTAATACTGATCACCCCTGCAAAAAGCAGATCGTAATTATCAAGCAGATATATGGGAATGTCCAGACAATCATATGGGATGTTTATTGAGGCCAGAAAATCCCCAGAGGGCAACAATGGCTAATCAGGCATTTTCTAGACAAAACTTCTAAACTTGTAAGTTTGAAGTCTTCAGATCCAGAATGGGCTAAATGCCTCTATTCAGTGTTGGAACCATAAAGAGGTTAGAGTAGAACCCCTGAAAGCGTTCTCCTGGTGGTACAGGGGCAATGACCCTCTGCCTTAGAAGCTGCACATGCCAGGGCAAAGATAGCATTAAGGAGGGCCTATAACCTTCTGACTCCTAATTTTCCTGCTCATGGTCCACTGTGTGTGACTAAATGCCCCCTCTCGTGACTTCGACAGCAAGGGAGGGGTGAAATGCAAGCATCTGTAAGCCACTGTAACACAAAATCTGCAAGAATAAACTGCAATTTGTGTGCCCGCAGTGATGAAAACCAGGAGATGTTGCTTGGTCGGTGTCCTGAATACAAAAAGGAAGAGGCAGGGTGTGCACATGAAGCAGCCTTCTTCTATGTAAGGCAGCAAATACGTAGAATGCACTTCAGGCTGCGCGGGTGCTTTACATTATCACAGAAGAGAGAGCAAAATGCTATGATATGGCACCATTAGGTGCCCTCTAGCAGGACAGGGAAAGCAGGCACCAAATAAATTAGCCCTAGCTATGCCTGACTGTGCAAACATGAGGGCAGACAGCCATCTCAGAGCAACACAAAAGGTGAATAAAATGGGCACTCACGGAGAATGTTTAAAGGGCTTCTGCTCTGTATTCACCAAATTCAGTAGCAAGAATAACAGCTCTGGACCTGTAGAGCACATTCCACATGCTGCACTACATGCAAGGGGAGCACCCATAGCAAGATCCAGAACAAAGTAAAACATTACAAGCTGGTCCTGCATCTTCCAACAGGCGGGGTCTGGTTCCCCCCAAGGCTCTGGTGAGGTATATACCGATCCGAAAGTTACAAAAAAAAAACAAAAAACAAGTGGCTACGGTGCAGGTGAGTGATGGAAGAATTTTCTTGGAAGAGATCATCTTTGAAAAAAATCATAGAGTGTGAAAGAGAAAAAACCCTCAATGTAAGAAGGCAAGCTTCGCTCTCAGTAGAGAAGAGGTCAATCATCTAAAACTAGCAAAAAACTGAGGCTAGCTGGGATTGGGAGGGGTTATACAAGCAGATGTCTCTTCAGCCTTTTTTACCACTGTCCAACTGAAATTAGCTGCATATAACCCAGTCATAATGATATTAAAAAGCCTGTGTCTGCACTGTATAATCAGGATATTTTTTTTTTTGAGAGACTGAGAAAGGTCTGGGCAATTTTTTTTTTATTGATGCGTCTCTATTAGGAAACTCTACTGAACAAAAACACAAACTGCAATAAAAATTGGACAGAAGTCAAATTCTTCCACACACTACCCAAAGAAGCTGGAGTTTCGCTATAAATGTTTGAAGATGAATGCAAATAAAGTAATCATTGTATAATGTTTTCAAAAAGCTTTCTCTGCATGCAGTATAGGACACAGGGATAGACTGAATAATTAGATCAATTAGCTATATCAGTCTGTTTAAATGTATGATCTACATACAGCTGTGTTCAATATAATAGCAGTGTGTTTAAAAAAGTGAGTAAAGCTAAAAATCCTGATAATAGCTATTATTTCCATACACGCAAATGGTTTGGGAACACTCACACAGTCTATTCCAAATCAAAACATGAAGAAAAATGTCTGCATTTTTCTTTACAAACTCAAACATTTACTGTACAAACTGAAAAATGCTTGAATATTTAGTGTTCCTATGAATCACTGAACTAAGATTTAATTGTATAATCACTGTTTCTGAGAACTGTTTCACATCTGTGTTGCATGGAGTCGACCTTTCCTATGAATCACTGAACTAAGATTTAGTTCTATAACCACGTTCTCTAAAAACTGCTTCACATCTGTTGCATGGAGTCGACCAACTTCTGGCACCTGTGAATAGGTATTGCAGCCTAACACGATTGCGCTACATTCCACAGTTCCTTTGCATTTCTTGGTTTTACCTCAGAAACAGCATTTTTGATGTCACCTCACAAGTTTTCTATTGGATTAAGGTCTGAGGATTGGGCTGGCCACTCCAGAACGTTAATCTTACTGGTGTGTTTGGGATTGTTGTCTTGTTCAAACACCCATTTTAACTGCTTCCCAACCACCCTATAGCAGAAAAACTGATACAGGGCAGTATATATACGTGATTTTGCATTCCCGGGTAGGGGGGGCACGCCCCCATTACCCACACCGCCATTCGCGGCCGCGGCTGTCTATCACCAGGTCCCGGCCAGTGATTACTCGCCACCGCCCAGTGACTGCCGAGCATCTCTGACAGGGAGGAGAACTGTTTATAAACAAAACAGTTCTCCCTGTCAGCTCTTGCACACTGCTTTGGATGACTGTGCACAGAACAGCCATGCAAAGCAGTGTTCTTATATTGAAGCACATGGACACAGCACTTAGTAAAACAGCACACAGTTAACCCTTTGATTGCCCGTCATGTTAACCCCTTCCTGTTTAGTGCCATTAGTACAGTGTCAGGCAAGTGATTAAGGGCATTTCCTCTTTGAATACATTGATATACTTTACAAGATTATATTGCCTTACACCAAACTAATCCATGATCCCTGGTATGCGATAAATAGGCCCAACACCATAGTATGAGAAATTTGTCCATATCATGATGCTTGCACCACCATGCTTCACTGTCTTCACAGTGTACTGTGGCTTGAATTCAGTGTTTGGGGGTCGTCTGACAAACTGCAGCCTCTAGACCCAAAAAGATCAATCTTGCTTTTATCAGTTCACAAATGTTGTACCATTTCTCTTTAGGCCACAATCCCATATGTGGTGATAAAAAAATCTAAAATATGTATATTTTATATATATTTGTAATGTTCTTTGGCAAATTGTAAACTCTTCAGCACATGTGGTTTTTTTCAACAATGGGACTTTGCGGGGGCTTCTTGCCATTAGCTTGGATTCACATAGGCATCTACTAATTGTTACAGTGCTCACAGGTAACTTTAGACCTTCTTTGATCACTCTGGAGCTGATCAATGGCTGAGTCTTTGCCATTTTGGCTCTTCTTCCATCCATTTGAATGGTAGTTTTCCATTTTCTTTCACGTCTTTCTGGTTTTGGTTGCTATTTTAAAGCATAGGAGGTCATTTAGCTGAGCAGCCTATCATTTTCTGCACTTCTTTATGTTTTCCCCTCTCCAATCAACGTTTTAATCGAAGTACACTGTTCTTCTGAACAATGTTTGGAACAACCCATTTTAATCAGATTTTCAGAGAGTAATGCACTATACCCAGCATGTACATTTGCTGCCTTCGTCCTTAAAATAAGGCTACCTCTTTGAAACCTGTTTTTTCACAGACTGAATGACCTCAGTAATTGAACTCCACACTGCTATTATTTTGAACATGCCCCTTTCAATGAATAATTCAATGACACAGAATCAGCAGCATGCATATCATGACTGTTGGGTCTGATGGTTTCCTATTACTCCACTACACTTACTAGTAAATTATTTGTCATGCAGAAATATAATTTATACCAAAAACAGTGATTGATTTGGTTAGTGATGTTGGACTGCTATTATTTTGAACAAAACTGTATGTGTGCAGACATGGATCAGTAATTTTTGCTCTTAACATATACAGCCTTGACTAGTAGTTAAGAGCAAAGATTGTGCTTCATTTCATCTATTTCTCAAGGTGGCCCATCAATCTCAGAAGATGACCAGCATGGATGCTAACCACAATCCCATATGTAGTGATAAAAAAATCTAAAATATGTATATTTTATATATAGTTGTAATGTTTAAAATGTCATTCTCCATAAATACAAAAATGTGTTTTTTTGTATTTGTATTTTTTAATTTAAATTTAAGGAAAAAAAAAAAGAGGGTATTTGCTGAAAATACACCATCACTTTCCTTTATGAGCGTTTATCTTAAATATTGCTAACATTTAACTTACTTTTGGCCTCGTCTTCTGCCTCGGCGGGAGCGTTTCAGCAGCTGGGGTGGCACCTGGTGATCACAGAACAGATGAATTTGCATGACAATAGAAAAACCATCAACTGAGCCTTCTAGTCTGTGATATCACATATATGAAATATGACAGGAACCCTGTAGAAACCAAGTATAAATGCTGTCATTCCTGTTTTCCCTTGCATATACCAGTTCCTGGGATATCATACTAATCCAAAGTAAGTTCCAAGATACAGTTTCAAAGCAAGTACAAAAGCTGACAGTACTTACTTCACGCTCTTTTTACTGTATTTGCATGCTGGTTCCAGGTGAGCATCTTTGAGTACTTAAACTAAAGGTTGTCAGGAAACTGACATATTTAAAAGGAGAAGACAGCCTCTTCAAAAAAAAAAAAAAAGTAATATACACTGAAATACAGTGCTAAAAATATGTAAAGTGTTAGCTGTAAAGTGTTTTTCAGCTTTAGTTTTCACATCATCTCACCTCCAGGCCTCTCAGTGGACAGTGAATCAGCATCATTATTTCTGTCCACTGAACACACCTAGGAAGCAGTAATGTTAAACTTGCAGAAGTGAATGTATCACAAAAATGGTCAATGGTAGAAATCCATATACAGTTAGAACAGTAAACAGATGTATTTTGTGATTTGCTTGGAGATGTGACTACCACTATGATTACTATTAAATCTATGCAAGTCTTTATTCCCTTTATTGTCTTTTGATGATCCTGCCAGTAACCTTTTCTATTCTAGTTTGCTCAGTTGTCATAATGTACCTGTTGACCAGTAGCACTGTCAACCCAAAACATAAGTGTTTTAGGACTACAAAACACCCCTCTTCTTCCCCATGATATGGGGAAAGGGAGATATTCTGTAATCCACAGAAAGAGTGGGGTACAATGCTAACTGGTAACAGTCAGCCAAGGAAGACAGAACAGGAAGTTATCAGGATTCGGCTGGATCAACAGTATTTTTGATTACCTATCGAACAGATATAACAAAACAATATCAATGTTCTTTTTAACAGCTCAAAAAGGCACAAATAGGAGAAGTTTATTGTTACGGTTTATATAGACTTTATGATAGATTAACTTTTTACATCATAATTTATTTGTTATTAAACTTTTGACTTTATTGACTTTTTGTTATTAAACATGTCCAGTAAAATTTTTTAAAAAAAATCAAATTTCGTCATAAATTTAATCCAAAATGTATTCTGTGACATGTCTTTGCTAAAAAAAAAAAAAAAAATCCCAATACATGTAAAAATTAATTGGTTTACGTGAAAGTTATAGCGTTTACAAATGGCGGTATATATACCGGGATTTTTTTTTTTTTTTTACTAGTAATAGCAGCGATCATCGACTTATAGCAGGACTGCAGAGGGCATTCTGACATTGGGAGAAACTGACTTGGTGTCACTGACATCCCTAGTGACACCAATACAGTGATCAGTGCTAATAAAAAGCACTGACACTACTAATGACATTGGGCAGGAAGAGGTTAACATGTGGGGCAATCAAAGTGTTAAATGTGTGCTGTTTTACTGTGTGTGCTGTGTGTTTCACTGTAAGCACACTACTTTGTGTGGCTCTGCTATGCAGAGCCACACAAAGCAGTGTGCAGGAGATGACGGGAGAGATCTGTATTTTTTACCGACAGATCTCTCCCCCGTCGGATATCCTCAGAGATGCCGGGTGTCAACAGGGAATCAACGGCCGGAACCCGGTGATTGACTGTGGAGTACGCAAATGGCAGCGCGAGTAGGGCACGCGTTCCCCTTACCCGGAACTGCAAAATCACATATATATACAGTGAGGAACAGAAGTATTTGAACACCCTGCGATTTTGCAAGTTCTCCCACTTAGAAATCATGGAGGGGTCTGAAATTCACATTGTAGGTGCATTCCCACTCTGAGAGACAGAATTTTAAATATAAAAAAAAGAATTCAGGAAATCACATTGTATGATTTTTAAAGAATTTAATGTCTTGCACTGCTGAACTTAAGTATTTGAACACCTGAGAAAATCAGTGTTAATATTTGGTACAGAAGCCTTTGTTTGCAATTACAGAGGTCAAACGTTTCCTGTAGTTCTTGACCAGGTTTGCACACACTGCAACAGGGACTTTGGCCCACTACTCCACACAGATCTCCTCTAGATCTGTCAGGTTTCGGGGCTGTCGCTGAGCAACACAGAGTTTCAGCTCCCTCCAAAGATGTTCTATTGGATTTAGGTCTGGAGACTGGCTAGGCCACTCCAGAACCTTGATATGCTTCTTACGGAGCCACTCCTTGGTTATCCTGGCTGTGTCCTTCGGGTCGCTGTCATGTTGAAAGACCCAGCCACGACCCATCTTCAATGCTCTGACTGAGGGAAGGAGGTTGTTGCTCAAAATCTCACAATAAATGGCCCCATTTATCCTCTCCTTAATACAGTGCAATCGTCCTGTCCCCTTCGCAGAAAAGCACCCCCAAAGCATGATGTTACCACCCCCATGCTTCACAGTAGGGATGGTGTTCTAGGGATGCAACTCATCCTACTTTTTCCTCCAAACACGACGAGTGAAGTTTAGACCAAAAAGTTCTACTTTGGTCTCATCTGACCACATGACTTTCTCCCATGCCTCCTCTGGATCATCCAGATGGTCATTGGCAAACTTCAGACGGGCCTGGACATGTGATGACTTGAGCAGGGGAACCTTCCATGCAATGCATGATTTGAAACCATGACGGCGTAGTGTTCTACCGACAGTGACCTTTAAAACTGTGGTCCCAGCTCTCTTCATGTCATTGACCAGCTCCTCCCTTGTAGTTCTGGGCTGCTTCCTCACCTTTCTTATCATCAGTGATACCCCACGAGGTGAGATCTTGCATGGAGCCCCAGTCCGAGGGAGACTGACAGTCGTCTTTAGCCTCTTCCATTTTCTAACAATTGCTCCAACAGTTGATCTATTTTCACCAAGCTGCTTGACAATTGCCCTGTAGCCCTTTCCAGCCTTGTGGAGGTCCACAATTTTGTCTCTGGTGTCTTTTGACAGCTCTCTGGACTTGCCCATGGTAGTAGTTGGCGTCTGATTAACTGTGGGGTGGACAGGTGTCTTTAAAGAGCTCAGACAGGTGCTACTAAGTTAGATTAATGAGTGGAGTAGAGGTGGACTTTTTAAAAGGCACAGTAACAGGTCTTTGAGAGCCAGAATTCTTGCTGTTTCTTAGGTGTTCAAATACTTATGTTCAGCAGTGCAAGACAAATAAATTCTTTAAAAATCATACAATGTGATTTCCTGAATTTTTTTTTTAATTCTGTCTCTCAGAGTGGGAATGCACCTACAATGTGAATTTCAGACCCCTTCATGATTTCTAAGTGGGAGAACTTGCAAAATCGCAGGGTGTTCAAATACTTCTGTTCCTCACTGTACACGTGAGTTTGTGCACCCGTGCTGCCCTGTAGCAGTATTTCTGCTATAGGGCATTGCAGAAGCGATAATGCTTTCAGAAATAGAAGTTTTAATTGTTAATTTTTTTTATCAATTAACAAAATAGAAATTAAATAACCAGAAGAGAAATCCAAATCAAATCAATATTTGGTACGCTCACCTTTTGTCTTCAAAAGAGCATCATTTCTTCTAGGTACACTTGCATACAGTTTTTGAAGGAACTTGGCAGGAAGGTTGTTCCAAACTTATCTTGGAGAACTAACCACACATTTTCTGTGGATGTAGGCTGCCTCAAATCCTTCTGTCTCTACATGTAATCCCAGACAGACTCAATGATGAGGAGATCAGGGCTCTGTGGGAGCCAAACCATCACTTCCAAAACTCCCTATTCTTTATGCTGAAGATAGTTCTTAATTACATTGGCTGTTTGTTTGTGGTCATTGTCCTGCTGAGGAATAAATTTGGGCCCAATCACATGCCTCCCTGATGGTATTATTATACAGGATTTATATAGCGCCAACAGTTTGCTCAGCGCTTTACAATATAACGGGAGACAGTACAGCAACAATACAGTTCAATACAAGAGGGTTAGGAGCAGGGGCAGACTGAGAACTTATGGGGCCCCCGGGCAATAGGGGATCATGAGGCCCTTTGTCCTCACCCACACTCAAACCACACCCAAAAAAGATTATGAAAGGTACTAGGGGCATCTCATGGGGCCCCCTACTGACCCTGGGCCCTCGGGTAATTTGGGGCAGAGTTATAAATGGCTTTATACGTTATTGTTAATGTTTGAATTTTATCTGTTGGGCAATGGGAAGCCAGTGGAGGGATTGGCAGATACAGAACGGTTAGTAAGGTGGATGAGTCTGGCAGCAGCATTCATGATAGACTGAAGAGGGGATAGCCTGCGATTAGGTAGGCCAATGAGGAGGGAGTTACAATAGTTAAGGCGAGATATAACAAGGGAGTGAATAAGTTGCTTAGTGGTTTCCAAGGTTAGGAACGGGCGTATCTTGGCGATGTTGCAGAGGTGAAGTCTACAAGATTTGGACAGTGAATGGATTTTTGACTGAAAGGACAGATGGGAGTCTAGGATTACACCTAGTACCCTGGCATGAGGAGAGGGACTGATGATTGTGTTATTGATCTTGATGGAGAAGACAGGGGAGGGGGCATGGGCTGGGGGGAATACTAAGAGCTCAGTTTTGGAAAGATTGAGTTTGAGGAAGTGGAGTGACATCCATGCCGATATGTCAGTACGTTAGTAATGCGAGAGGAGACTGAAGAGGTGAGGTGAGGGGTAGAAAGATAGATTTGTGTGTCATCAGCATAGAGATGGTACTTAAAGCCATGGGAGTTTATCAAGTGACCAAGGGAGGAGGTGTAGATGGAGAAGAGAAGGGGTCCAAGGACAGAACCTTGAGGGACCCCTACAGAAAGAGGGAGTGAAGAGGAGGAGGCAGCGTTATAGGTAACGCTGAAGGAGCGCTGCGATAGGTAGGAGGAGAACCAGGAGAGAGCAGAGTCTCTGAGGCCAAGACAGTGGAGTTTTTTTGAGGAGGAGGGGATGGTTAACCGTATCAAAAGCCGCAAAGAGGTCAAGTAGTAAGAGTATGGAGTAGTGGCCATTGGTTTTAGCTGTTAGTAGATCATTAGTGAGTTTTAGTATGGCAGTTTGAGTCGAGTGTAGTGAGCGAAAGCCAGACTGTAGAGGGTCAAGAAGGTTGTTGTCGGTGAGGTGGGAGTTCAGGCGATTGTAGACTAAGCGTTCTAGGAATTTAGAGCTAAATGGCAGCTGTGAGATGTGTCTTACGTTGTTCAGGTTGGTGGGGTCCAGGAGGGCTTTTTAAGAATGGGAGTGATGTGTGCATGCTTTAGAGGAGAGGGGAAAGCACCAGTAGAGAGGGAAAGATTGAAGATGTGAGTGAGGGAGCATAGGATGGAAGAAGAGGGTGACCGTAGTAGTTGTGAGGGGACAGGATCCAGGGGGCAGGTAGTGAGACGGGCTTCTGAGAAAACCTTAGTGACCTCTTCGGTAGTAGCAAGGTCAAAAGAGGAAAGTGTTGAGGGAGGTTTAGCATAAGGTATGCTAAGTGGGATGGATGTCTGTGCAGTGGAGATGCCCCTACGAATTGCGTCAATCTTGTTTTTGAAATGATTTGCAATCTCGTGAGCAGTGAGTGAGGTACTGGGTGGAGGTGGAGAAAGTTAAAAGTAGAGAAGAGATGACGAGGACTGGATGACAAGGTATTAATAAGAGTGACAAAGTAGGCTTGTTTGGCAGCATGAAGGGAGGAATTGTATGTTAAGAAAGCAGATAAGGCATGATATTTGGATATCTGCCTGTATTTCTCAGCATTGAGGACACCATTGATCCTGACCAAATCTCCAACTCCATTTTTAGAAAAACAGCCTCAAATGTGCAAGGAACCTCCACCGTGCTTCACTGTTGCCTGAGACACTCATTGTACTGCACTCCAGCCCTTTGGCTTTAGCAGGAGGCAGTTTGTTTGCTGAATATTTCATCTGCTGACATTTTTCTGCACCACAGTTCCCCATGCATGGTTGAGTCGCTTAGCCCTGTTTCCATGTCAGAGGTATGGCTTTTTGGCCACAATTCTTCCATGAAGACCACTTTTGGCCAGTTGTGTGCTGATGGCACTGCTGGATAACTTCTAATATCAAAAAGTAAGCATGATGCGTCTTTCATCTGCTGCATTAATTTTCCTTTGCCAACCACTGCTTCTACAGTCCTCAATGTTGCCCTTTTCTTTGCACTTCTTCAAAAGAGCTTGAACACCACATCTTGAAACCCCAGGCTTCTTTGAAACCTTTGCCTGGGAGAAACCTTGCTGATGCAGTCTTCCACAACCTCACCTTAGTAGCAAGGTTTGGCTATACATCACCCAGTTTTATGCCTTCTACATAGCTGTTTCTGTTTTTCAGTCAATTAATGTATTTCAACCTACATATGAAATTGATATTTAGCACTGCTTGGTATAATTGGTTTATCATACAGCTGACTCTAATTCTACAAAATCTCTATGTGCAAGTGTACAAAGTGTGCAAGTGTAAGAATTGATGCTGGTTTGAAGATAAGGTGTAGTCATATCACATATTGATTTGAGTTAGATTCTTCTTCTGTCTGTTCACTTTGCATTATGTAAATTGATAATTAAAATATATATTTTTTAAAGCATTCTCTCTTTACAGCATTTCTTCACACCTGCCTAAAACATTTGCACATTTTATCTATATATATATATATATATATATATATATATATATATATATATATATATATATATATATATATATACATATATATATATATATATATATATATATATATATATACACACACACACACACACACACACACACACACACACCACACACATGGTAAAATAAGTATTGAACACTTCACCAATTTTCTCAGTAAATATATTTCTAAAGGTCCAATGGACATGAAATTTTCACTACATGTCAGTAATAACCCATGCAATCCATACATGCAAAGAAACTAAAACAAATAAATTCAGAAATGAAGTTATGTGTAATAAAATGGAATGACAGAAAAAAGTACTGAACATGCTAACTGAAATTTATTTAAATACTTCGTACAAAAATATTTGTTGGTAATGACCGCTTCAAGACCACTCCTGTATGGAGAAGCAGGTTGCATGCATTGCTCAGGTGAGATTTTGGCCCTTTCTTCCACACTAACAGCCTTCAGATCTTCAAGGTTCCGTGGGCCTCTTCTATGAACTCTGATCTTTAGTTCTTTCCATATATTTTCTATTGGATTCAAGTCAGGTGACTGGCTGAGCCATTCTAGCAGCTTTATTTTCTTTCTTTGAAACCAACTGAGAGTTTCTGTGGCTTTGTGTTTGGGATCATTGGCTGAAATGTCCACCCTTGTTTCATCTTCATCATCCTGGTAGATGACAGCAGATGTTTATCAAGAATGTCTTGGTACATTTTTCCTTTCACCCTTCCTACAATTACATGAAGTTTGTCAGTACTGTATGCTGAAAAACAGCCCCACACCATGATGTTCCCAACCCCAAACTTCACTGTTGGTATTCTGTTTTTGGGGTGATGTGCAGTGCCATTTGACCTCCAAACATGGTGTGTATTATGGCATCCAAAGAGTTAAATTTTGGTCTCATCTGACTATACTATATTCTCCCAGTATTTTACAGGCTTGTCTAAATGTTGTACAGCAAACTTTAAATGCTTTTTCTTCAGCAATGGAGTCTTACATGGTGAGCATGCATTCAGGTCATGGCGGTTCAGTGCATTACTTATTGTTTTCTTGCTAAATCAAGGTCTTTCTGAAGCTTTCCACAAGTGGCCCTTGGACAACTCTTCTGATAATTCTTTTCACTCCTCTGTCAGAAATCTGGTGAAGAGCACCTGGTCGTGTCCAGTTTATGGTAAAATTATGTTCTTTCCACTTCTGGATTATGGCTCCAACAGTGCCCACTGGAACATTCAGAAGTTTAGAAATCCTTCTGTAACCAATGCCATCAGTATGTTTTGTTTTGCAACAATAAGGTTGTGAAGGTCTTGGGAGAACGCTTTGCTTTTATCCATCATGAGATGTTCCTTGTATGATACCTTAGTAATCAGACACCTTTTTATAGGTCATCAGTTGAGACTAAACCACATTATATTAATTTGCACTGACAAAGGGCAGGATTGCTTTCTAAATACTGATAAGATTTCAGCTGATGTCTTGGCTTTCCATGCCTTTTTGCACTTCCCTTTCTTCATGTGTTCAATACTTTTTCCCTGTGTCATTCCATTTTATTAAGCATAACATCATTTCGAAACCTATTTGTTTTTGTTTCTTTGAATGTATGGATTGCATGGGTGGTGAAAATGTCATGTCAATAGCATCTTTAGAAATATATTTACTGAGAAAAATTGTGACGTGTTCAATACTTATGTTACTTATCTATCTATGGTTCTGCAGTTAACTCCATATATGCATATACAGTATGTATAAGATTGACGCCATTTCAAGACTGGAATTATATTTTGAAGTACAAGAAATGATTAGGAAAACAGGAGGGAGGTGACAGGGGTATGTAGAAATTTCAGACTATTCCCTCCAGTGCACCACTTGCAAGTTCCAGTGTGATCCACTGCTGTGACCTGAGACCAGCTTCTGTTTCCACTACCCCATAAAAGCATATTTCAAGCGATGCATGCGGGTTCTGAAAGTATATCGTTTTTGGACTTCCAAGTGTTGTAATCAAAACTGCCAGTACAACACATTGTGAACAATTGTGTAGACAAACATATACATCTGCAGTTTAAACATAAGTATTCACACAATACATACATCCACCTCCTGCTCCCCGGGCTGTCCTCCCTCTTCCTGCCAATGGTGAGAAAATGGAGAGATTCCTAGCACAGGCTGGGTCGGATCCTGGCTGTGACCTGCTTCTTCTCCATCATTCTGTGTGGTTTCTTCTCCATTGTATCTCCAATATGAGTGCCGTGAACTGGAGAGCCTATCACCACGTGGCCGACGACCATAAGACCTCTCTCCTCGGGAGCGACCATTAAACCTATAGCCTCGCTCATTACCCTTGGAAAGTTCTCTTTCAGGAAGGTTTAACATATTGGGTGGGTGAGGAGAACCCATCCATGGGAGGTTTGGGGAAGCTCCATTAGGGATCTCAGAAGAAATGACAGCATCAGTAAGCATCCTGCACCTTTTCAGTGGAGATGCTTCTGGTTCTGTCTCAGAGGAGGAAGGATCCAATGACTGGGATAATGCATCTGTTCTTGGGGGATCAGAAGGTGTGTCTGGAGGAAGGTCAGTCCGGACTGGTCCCTGAAATGGGGAGCCTTTGGGGAGGAGTCCAGTTTCAAAGGCACTTGAGGTGTTGGAGACAAAGGAACCAGGTCGCATTGAGAGCAGTGACAAAGTCTGAGACCTGTTAGTCACATCAGCTCTCTGGGAGGGGAAATTGGAGTCAGACGGCTGTTGAGAGATAGAGGAGGGTTGAGATGTGGGTGTAATGCAGGACTCTGGATGAGACAAAGTGTTGACTTCTTTCTCTGACGTTGAGTGAGTCTGCAAGATAAAAAAAAGAAAAACTGAAAAGAAAAACGAAGTAAGAAAGAAATAAAAAATAAGGCCAGGAAGCACTAATAAGGTGGATGCCCTGTCAAGTTTTCCATATATTGATTATATTCTTCTCATAGGCATAAAATTACAATAAATAAAATTCTCCATAGTGATGTTTTATAAATCTTTAAAGCACATGCGTTAACACTGTGCACGATGATTTTGGGATATGTGTTGCCTGATCTCGGTTTACATATGAACAACCTGGGTTGTGTATGAGTTAAAGGGAGAAAAGAGAATCGTTAAAAAAAAATGTTTTTCGCTTTTATTTAGTGTTTTACTTTACTTCATTACCATCACATGGGTGCTGAAAAGCCACCTGTGTAATAGTATATCTTTTTGTGACAGGTCCTGTTTATGGACACATTTGTCTCCCCTGCAAAGCTTCCAAATAGAGTACTGATGGTACCCTATTTGTTTACATTTCTGTCCGCCAGCTTCAAGAATCTGACAGCTTCAAACCCAGTTTTCAGAGCAGAGTACTTCTAGGTTCACAAACAGTGGGAGGATCAGCAAATTGATAATTTCAGACTTCTCATTGCTCACCATCCTGAAAGCATCCCCAGCCTCTTTTGTGTTTACCCCGTGCTCGACAAATGCTCAGGATTTAACTGTTAGAATTTCAAGCCTGAGTAACAATTGGGGTTAACACTACAGATATTAATTAGGAACAATTTTATGAAATTTTTCTGATTGACTAAAATGTGTGGAACAGAATTATGGCTAGTCCAGGGACATTCAAACACAAACATTCTTAACAAGCAGTAAAGCAAGCAATAAAAGCAGTAGTCACAGACCTCTGCACATATAGGCACCGTGAAGCAATTCATCTTACATGTTTACAGCAGAAAGTATTTTGCTTCCAGCTTTGTAACTGCTAATGTAAACACAGCACAGGTTCACAGGAAGAGGACAAGAGCAGGGTGCGGAGACCTGACTGGAAGGACTTCTGTGCTTCTCTTGTGTTCTTTGAGGATGAACTGCTCCACATAGTCTGTGGCTACAGGATGTCAGTGGGCTAAAGGTTGTATAGTAACAGTGTGCAAAGAATGTTTTTGTGAAGCTATCATCAAGCTTTAAGCAGCTTTGTTGAAGCCTTTAAAAAACTCTTCTTTAAAGATTTCCCTAATTTCAGTTTGGCAATGTTAAAAAACACAGATCTTAATTACAGTGCTGACTATCACCTTAAACAAGGTAACAGCAGGCTTTCAATAAGCTTGAGGCAATTCTGAAGCTTACTGAACTTTGTTATCACAGGGATGTTCAATTCATATCGCCCGAAACATGTAGTACCGGGCAGGTAGTTTTGTTTTTTTTTTTACCTTGAGCCCTGCTGCAGGCAAGCAGCAGGGCTCATCTGTCAGGTGGAAGTATTGGGGCGGCAGCGCTGCCACCCGATTGCTTCCTCACAGCCCACTATGTTGCCATCCTCCCCTATCCTGGCCCCACCCACTACGTCTCCCGGGCTCCGCTTGCCCATGTACAGGCCCAGGAGCAGCCAGTGGGTGCGGGCGGGTATAGGGCAGGGAGGAGAGCGGACACATCTGCTCCCTTCCCCTTCTTGTCCAAACCCAGAAATTATGTGACGTCACTTCCAGGTATATGTTGACAGATTTCCCGGCGATCTTAGGAGGATCTTAGGGCGAGCTTAGGAGGAGGCAGAAGCCACCAAGAATGGGGGTTTTGAAACCTTTCTATTGTGACAGAAGGGTTTTTCGTCCTGTAACCTCCTTTGTTAACTTGTCAAGTGCATCATCAGACAGACAGGGGAATTTATACCACCAAGTTTGAAAGTTTAAACATTCCATAAGTGAATAAACCAACACATTCCTGGTTTCCTGATAGTTTTGCACTTTTCAGGGGACAGCTAGTTAAGTGAGCTGCAGGTGAGGGAGATACTGAATCTCATATCAGGTATCAAGCTACACAATTGGTCCGATAAGACTTTATCATGTCGTTGGTGGCTATTAGGGTCCAGGCTTTGCACTCCACAGTGGTCATACCCCCAGTGGGGTCTTTAGGGTCTGGGAACCATAGGAAAGGACCACTGCCCTGGACCTGTATAGCAGCCTATGAATAACCACATAAGCTGCATTCAGTACCAAGGTAAGTGCTCAAGCAGGATCCAGTGCCCAAAGCAGCATGTTAGGCCGCCCCCATGGCATGGGGTATGATTCCCAAGGCATTACCAAGGATCCCCCGATCTGGATTGCACTGTTCTTGTTGTTATAGTATAAGGCCATGAATAGTTAGTTAGAAGTTGATTGAACAAGGAAACTAGCCAAACACAGAAAAACTCCTCTATAGGGGAGAATAGGTCCATCAACTAAAGACATTAGCAAAAAAACAAAGTCTCACAGAGTGGGGTAGGGTGATAGGGGTTCATCCAAGGGGTGTATCCAGCAAAGCTTTGCCAATGTCTAATCATCTAAAAGTAGCAGCCCACTACTGGTGAGTAAACCACTGAATATCATAACTTCACATTTTGGTCTGGTCTATAAGATCTTGATTACCCCTGAGCTTGAAAGGGTTAAATAAAAAAAGTTATTTAACTTTTTTTAACTACTGGATATAAATGTAACCATTGCAGAAACATTTCAGAAGAAAGAAGCCTTGTATTTTCCATTTAGTTTAATTAGCTGTATGTAAAATTCCTCAGTTTTGGCAAATGCCAGTGTAATCAATTAGTCATTGGAGTCTTGAACCAAACAGACCACATCTTATACAGACAATAAAAGTAACTGAAACAGCACTTCACATTCAAGAAGGTTTGAGTGAGGAAATTACCTGAGCATTGCTCCGCTGCCCTTGTAGAAGTGACTGTCCCTGGAAGAGCTGCATTCCAAGACCTCCAGGAAGAGATGGTAAAAATGTCTGCTGGTTTTGCAGCAGAGCCTGAGCTCCCAAAAGAGACTGAAGACTTCCCAGCTGGGCACCAGGATTTGAGTTCAGCGCTGCCAGATCACCTGTAAAGTTACAGCAGTAGATCATTATTACTTAATTCTCCATAAATGCAGGTCTAGTAATGCGCAAACACAAATCCATGGTGAATAAAGATGCATGTGCTTACTATACTTTGCTTACTTGATTTTTACTGTGGTGCCAATTATATGGTTAAATCACTCAGTACCAAGACATCAAAACTGCCCATGTAGCTGAGCCCTCAGAGTAGTGCTAAATCTCAGACATGAAATATGAACAAAACACATCCTTCTATACTGTGTGATTGCCTCTATTCAAAAACAGAGTGTGATTTCTCTCTGGTGTCTCCAGGAGTAATTTCCGACAGGTTTTCCCAGCTCCAAGAGATAGTTGTTCACAGGTGAGGGGAACTCCAGCACACAGCTTGTCATTGAGAGCCTCAGATGTGCATTGCTTCCTATGTACTGTGAGGAGGAGGGTGTACCCTTCCCTTTAATCAGGGCTCTGAGCTCTCCTGTGACTGAAAGAGCTAAAAAAAAAAAAAAAGCAGCACTGAAATGCAAAAAAGTGAAAACTGTTTTATGAGAAAAAAATGTCAAATTGTGTGAAATACACAAGGCTTTTAGCAAACTAAAAGCTACCCATTTATGGTCTATATCTACTTTGACTATGCTGCATATGTCATATACAGATTAAACAAAATCATAGTTTATATTCTTCACACTGACCATGCTTTTGTGCTTTAGCACAAAATCATAATTAATCAGCCACATTTCAGATTCTTACAGATGCTGGAGATTTAAAACCACCAAAGGTCCCTTGTGACAGCAGAAGTGCTTCCACTGCTGCTGTTTCCAGCACTACACACTTGGTATCACATACTGTATACAAATAGGTTCCTACACGCCTGTTTTACATGTATTTTATGTAATCGAAAATGCTACAGGAGCAGAAACAATCCCACTGTAGCACTAGTAGTGATATTTTACAGTAAGCAGGAATTCTGAAATTAAGATGATTATAAAGAAAGTAAGAGATAGGACAAAGAGTAATATATGAGAAGAAGAATTAATGGAGGTGAAACCTGCACAAGTAGCTGATCTCTTTTATATAATGGGGATAGCACATTATAAAATCATTTTAGACCTAGGAATCCGGTAACAACTAGAGGTTAGTAGAACTCCAGACATTTTTTCCCCAATTTGAGTAGAACAGGGAATGATGATACATTCCCCAAAGAGGACATCTGCTCTGCTGACAGCAGTAAAAATGTTCACCTCACTATGAGGTTCACACCCTAAACTTCTTGTTTAGCCACAGAAAAAATGGGACAGAGTCTCTAACTTTCCCACCTAGCAAAAACAAAAATTTGGCTGGAGATGGACAATAACTTTTTGTCTTTCCCAATTGCGGTCACCACAAATGTCTGTTAAAAGTAGTTGTGAACATACAACAGTAGTTAGTTATAGACACTCTCTAATACAGTTAATTCTATGCAGGTACCATTACTGATTTTGTAACCATGCATCCTGTTTTCCATAGTTTGTTCAGCCTGAGGCAAGATGCGGGCTGTGATTGGTAGGGGGTGTGTGTCAGAAGCAGACTGACTGGTCAGGAGACATACTGTGTAAAACTACCAAATACAGGAATGCTGTGTGCCTGCAGAGTGTCCTGTAACTCTGAATAGCCAGCCAAAGGATGAAAACTGACCAAGCTATCATAGATCAGCTCCTGTGCTTTGTGCGTTCAGTTTAGCACAAGGAAGAAAGGTGACTGGCAGGATAAACCAGGTACTTCAGTTGAAAGAAAAACATGAAAACGAAGGGGACTATGATTTATAAAATACACATAAGTGACCGCACACACAGAACAACATTAATAACAATATTTAGGGTAACATGCATTTTAAATGCTGTGCTGAACCTACTTTAAAAAGGCAATAGTTGTTTTTACCCATTATCACTAGCACATACAATAATTATTGTACATAAGGCTGAAACAACCCATTATATGAACAAAATAAAGCACCATGCAGATAACTTCTCTTTCTGGGCATGTGGTCATCAAGTAGGCTTACCCAATAACCCAGCAGTGAGCAGAGGGTTAAGCAGAGGGGGCATTAGCGTGTTAAATCTTCCAGATACCGCTGTTTGTGTTGGATGGAGCTGGAAAGGGCTGTGTGGCTCGGATGGAGGGATCTTCCCCTCTGATAAGGCAGATGAACTAGTGGTTGTAGTAACAGAGGCTGATCCAGAGCAGGAGGTATTGATGCAACTCTGTAAATAAAAATAAGGGTTACCAACACACAATCAGTCCAACTCATGGGTGCATTCCTTGCCACAGACTTCCATTATATCTTATGGATGTGGTGCACCAAAGCGCACCAAATCCACAGGATATAATAGTAGTTTATGGTTCAGTGACACTAACCCGCAAGAAAGCCACAGGTGCACTGTACTGAACCCAGAGATCAGTGTTAAAGCAGTTTAGTAGTTGTAAACCCTTTCATAGGTGCAAATATGCCCATAGCAAAAGCAGAGTGTGTTGTTTTAATACACTGACCTTTTTATTTTCCTATTCCAGCTTCTGCTGGCATCGCTCTCCAGGCCGCTAGAGAGGTCCCAAGCAAAGTGCACTTGGTATCACCCTACCTGGGACAGGAGCCAGAGCTACAGAGGAAGCATTGGCTCTCACCACGGCTGCCTGCTTCCTCCACTGCTGGCGCCAGTTCGATGCACTCTAACGCTCTGAGATGGCGGGTCAGCAATGTCAGATCACGGTCAATGGGTTGGCGACCCCAGGCCTGCGCTTCCCTGGTTTGAGGTCGAGGGCCATATCAGAGGGCTCTGAGGGCCACATGTGGCCTGTGAGAAACAGGTTGGGCACCCCTGGTCTGACTAATGCTCTCCCAGTAAAAATATTTAAACCAGAGTTCGGTCTTATTCTTGTTTAACCACCTCAATGCTGGACACTTTCACCCCCTTCCTGCCCAGGCCATTTTTCAGCCTTCAGTGCTCTCACAATTTGAATGACAATTACTCAGTCATGTAACACGGTACCCATATGAAATTTGTATCATTTTTTTTGAGACAAATAGAGCTTTTTGGTGGTATTTACTCACCACTGGGTTTTTTACTTTCTGCTATAAAAAGAAAAAAGGCTGACAATTTTGGGGGGGGGGGGGGGGGGGGAAACGCATTTTTGTTCTTGTTATAAAATTTTGCAACTAATTGTTCTTCAAAGATTTATATCAGATTTCAATCTGCTACATTTCTTTGGTAAAAAATAACCCAAAATCACTGTATAATTATTTAGTGAAAGTTATAGAGTCTACAAGCAGGGTCAGTGCTTCCACTAGGCAAACTAGGTGGCCCTAGGGCACACTGCCACCTAGAGGCACCTGGGTGCAGCACAGGCCAGCACCCTGTGTGGGACGCCACCATGTCATGAATGATCCTCCAGCTGAGGGGAGTAGCGGCAGAGAGGAGGAGAGCACAGAGGAGGACAGAGAAAGATGCCCAGTGTCTGGGTCTAGTGTATCAGCTGAGCTGCAGCTCCTTCCAATGTTCCTCTCAGACTCAGTCCCTTACTGCAAACCGGCTGGCAGTTGCTGATTACTGTGGAGTTCCAGCCCTTCTCTTCTCATTCATCAGTGGACAAAGGTAATGTCTGACTCTCATGTCTCGTGTCTGTGTGCAATGTTTTAGTGAGTGATAACATTATCACGAACCCAAAGCCAGCTGTTCTAGTGCCTGTTGATCTGTGTCAGTGTTGGTAGTGGTGTGTTGTGTCGGATCTGTCACTGTGTGGGATTGTTCAGTTCAGGTGTTCTCTCGGTGTGCGTGGGCTGGGCTGCCTGCGGTCACAGAGTTTTATATCCCTCCATTGCCTGGGGAATTCCAGTCTGGAATCTGTCAGAGTGTGCATCCATCATCCTCCACTTACTGCAACTGTCACCCTGTCACTGCCAGCCACAGACACAGTCCGTTCGTGACACTGATTTTGTCTTTAATATTGGTGCTGGTGGCATGTTATGGCACTTAGTTTTGCAAATTAGAAGAAATTTAGCAGTTTCATGTTTTGTTTATTTAATATTTTCTACTATTTTTAAAAAAATTTTGATTTGGGGGGGGGGGGCAAGCAATTAGCTGGTCTTGCCTAGGGCGCAAGATACTCTAGCACCGGCCCTGTCTGCAAGCTATGGTACATATATATGAAAATCGATCAATCCGGATGTACTAATCAGCCTAATTTCCGGAGGCCCTAAAATGCCAGGACAGTAAAAATAAGCCCCAAATGACCCCTATTTGAAAATAGACATTTCAAAAGGATTTAGTAAAAGGCATGGTGAATTTTTTTTAATTTTATATTTTTTCCCCAACAATTCTTGGGAAAATTAAAAAAAATAATAAAATTTGAATTTTTTAACACAAAATTGTAATTTTAACAACTTATTTCTCACACACTGCATAGGCATACTTGCAATTACACCCCTAAACACATTCTGCTACTCCTCCCAAATAAGGGGTTACCACATGAGATTTTTTCACAGCCTAGCCACATAGAGGGGCCCATAATCCAAGAAGCGCCTTTGAAGGAGCATAAATTACACATCTAATTTCCTGACTACCTATCACACTTTTGAGGCCTCTGGAGCAGCAGGACAATAAAAACACCCACAAAATGACATTTTGGAAAGCAAATAAATTGAACTGCTTAGCATAAGAAATCTACAGCTGCAGAGAACAACAAAGACCGTAAATAACGTTCCTTGAAGTGAACTTAAAATCACTTTTTTTTTTTGTTTCAGATAGAGAAGAATAAGGTTAAACTCTCATTTGGTTCTTTTCCTGATCTGTGTCCCACTGGAGATTTCCCTGAATTGCTAATCTGGAGACACAATAAAAATAAGAGTAAATCACTCCAAAGTCAATGTGTTAGCACAAGAATAGGTGTCTCCATTGAAAGATTTTGTAGAGCAACAAGTTGAAGAGCTAACAAGCCAGTTAGTTGCGTGAAAAATGTGCAAGCTATTGGTTGCATGCTTGAAATTCTCTGCAACTAATTGAAAATAGGTCCCCTTTTACCCCACAAAAACAATTTCACTGTGCATGTGCTGAAATAATAAAGTGCCAGTATCAAGCAAAAAACAAAAATCTGCAGTCAAAGTAAAAGTTCAGTACACTGTCTCTACGGCAGATTTTCTTTGCTCACTTCGGTGAAACAGTTGTTAGAAAGATGGTAAATAACGTAAAACATCTGAGTCTGGATAGCAGTAAAAACCAGACAACGGCTCATATCATTCCCTGCTGGATTTTCTATATCCGGAGACAGTTAACTATGGAGTTATCCAGCACAGTCTGCCATAGTCTGGGCAACAGATAAGGTGTCAAAAGGTGGCTTCAGCTCTGGACCTGCCAGTGCAAAGGATAACTACAAAAAAATGTTTTCAAACGCCTATTGACTGAATCCCTAAAGGAGGGAATGACTACAATAGAAATATTATATTGATTATTTAATGCAAGAATGGCTGGATCCTTAGAGGAAACAGACCATTTCTTTTGAAAGATCTCTGTCAAACGGTTAACAGGCAGCAAAAGTGCCAGGAGGGATAAATAACCTTTCAGAGAAGGTAAAGAACTGACTATATTAAATTCTGGTAGTGAAAAATCTTCAGTAGCCCCTGAAAAATATCAGCATCCCATTTGCCTGCTGCACATGCAAGTGTGCTAGGCAGTTCAGGTTGCAACCCTTGAATACAGGAGACATCGTCCATTGGAACCATGAGGGTCTTATTCAAACAGTAAACCACCAGATCCACAATAGGCATACTCTATTTCTTAGTGAACGTGGTTTCCATGGGGGTATTATTAAGCAAATCATTTTGGAGGAACAAATAACTTTTCAGGGCGAGCCGAGTACATGTATAACATATCCATTAAATGAAGATGTACAGGGAAAGATTGGGGATGCTGAGGCTGGGCACCATGATCCCAATCCCATAACCCTAGGAACAGAGGACTAAGGAACTGACAATTTAAAGTTGGTCTTTTGGGTCTGAGATAAGACCAAACCCTAGGATTCGTTGGAGCAGATTCCTCTGAAGAGGAAATCTGTGTCTCCTTCTTCCAGAAAAGTCACTTCCCCTTCTATCTTTTCCACCGGTGGGTCCCTGGAAGGCTCTTCCTTGGGAGGATGGGAGAGAGAACATTTCTGTTTGTGACCACAATGATCCAATCCAGAAAAGATTCCAGGAAGCTGGTGCTGTAACCTAGTAAGAGCACACAAGGAAACTGGAGGAAGGTGCCACAGAATTACTGGCAAGTAAATGGAATTAGAGCCACACAGAACTAAATGACCCTCAGGGACTATAATACAAGAGCAGCTGTGTCTAGCTTACCCTCACCACCCGATTCCCCTACACCAAATCACTGACATACTGTCAAGAATATAGAAGGCCTAATGTTAATGAGCAATCCCCATCAGCTGAGAGGAATGGGTGCTGTACAAGACACCTGTTCTGGTACTCCCAGAATAAAGTAGGAGGCACAGTAATCCACTATGTCCTGCCTTTTTCACCTCCCTATAACAGCAGTGTACAGTAGTACTTACCTGATCTGAGATGCTCTGAAAAGCACACTGCCACAGAAAAACACCCAATTCTTCTATATAGGAAGCCAATCTGGCGGTTGACAGCTGACTCCCCCCCTTTCTGTGACTTCAATGACCCACACTGCACCTGCAGCGCCCTCCCTTTGTTCCCAAGCATGTGGGGATGGAGAAGCCCCCTGCTTTTGGTACCAAAGCCTATTTAACTGCCCCTAAGGTCCGCCACTGCTATAAGGTGCTTGGAGCAGCCAGAAGATAGTGTAAAAAAGAAAAAAATAAAAAAAAAGAAAACCGGGGTACATGCACATTGTGAATACTGCAGTCAAAAAAGAGGAGAATCACATCAGGACATTTGGGGCCAGGAAACAAGGGGACCTTCCCAAAAACTTTCCTATCACTTCCTATCTCAATGACCACATTTGCCAAGACAAAAAAACACCTAGAAAGAATCTCCCTAGTGGGGATACAGACAGTATAAAAAACATGACAAGGTATTCTAACATTTCCCTGCTGTATCCGTAACTACAAAAATGTGTACTTCAAACAAAATATTGATTTTACAGATAGCAAGTTTTCATTCTATAAGAATGCAATAAGGTCAGACATTTTTGAATATTCACAACAACGTATGCAGCAATTCTAAAAACAAGATTAGTTACCTGTCCTGGGCAGGCAGAGGAGTCAACAGCCCCTAAACTGGCAGCCAGTAGTGCGGAATTCAGGGCCATGAGGGCTGGAGAGGCAGAAACAGGAGGGAAGAGCAGTGGTTGGAGTGAGTTTTCAGGAAAAGTCTCAGGCAAGGTCAGGGGTGTCTCAGGTTTCTCAGTTGTGTCAGTATGTGAAGAGGGCAGAGCATCCAGCAAAGGTGCGAGAGAGAGAGGACAGAAGGCTATTCTGCTGTTGATTCTGAGGTGGAATATCAAGCTGTGGTAGTCCAAGTGCTCCCAGTGGTAAAAGAGGATTATGTAGAAGAGATGCCATCAGCAAAGCTTGCAAAGCACTGGTTTCTGGATCACCCACAGAGGGTAACGTCAAAGGAGGATTCTGGAGTCCTAATAGGCCAAGATCAGCACTTCCCAATAAAGAGGAGGAAAGTAAATTAACTAAGCCTTGGTTAAGCAGCTGTTGTTGCTGGTTCAAGCTGAAGGAGAGTGGCAATGAGCCCAGCATGGCTAGGTTTAAAAGCGCAGGTGTGGCAGAGAATGGCAAGACATGTTCCTGGCCCAAGAAGGAGAAGCTGTCCCCAGCAGAGGGCAGAGAACAGGACAGCTCACTGTTGCCTTCTGTGATACCACTTTGTGCCAGGCTCGGGGCTGGAGAAGATTTTGGTACTGGAGACTGGTTGGGTCGGCCAGAAGATGAAGCTAAAATGAGAAGCAAATTAGAATATGCATGTATAAACAATACGCATTACTTGTTTCAGATACTTAAAATATTCAATGTTTGTTTGTAATTAATTCAAATAAAAATGTAAAATACTTACATGGATTTGTCCCAGTGGGTGTTGAGGGTAACTTCAGTGGTAAAGGAGTCCCTGAGTTCTGTTCTGTAGCAGTCTGGACTAGTTGCCCTACAAGGCCAAGAAGATGGTTGCTGATATCTTGAGAAGCTGGAGACATGCTTGGATTTTTGCTTTGGCTTGGGGGCTCCTCTACAGACATACGAGGCAATTGAAGGGAAGAGGGAGTTTGACCAGAAACTGACTGTGTATTAAGAACTTTGGATTTTCCCATGTCTTCATCAAACTGTCCCCCAATTCCTGCTAACTTTGATACACAAGAATTTAATCGAGTGTGTCCACTAGGACTACTAGGGGTTTGGAGAACCTTACTAGTATCCTGTGGACTGGTATCAGGGCCTGGAGAATTCTTTTGTCTTTTTCGCTTCACCATTACATCCCTTCTCTGGGAATGAGTCCTGCTGGGAAGAGACCGGCCTTCCTGTGTGACAGATGTAGAAAGCAACGTATTGGGATTCAGCAATCGGCTGGGTAAAGTGCTGGGGGCTGCGGCTTCAGGTTTGGTTTGATTTGCCATTTGGGCCTTAGCAGCTGCTGTAAGGAGGCTGCTGGCTGGAAAGGAAGCATTGCTTTGCTGGCCCAATATGCACCCGAGGGGAAAGCCCAGTAAGCCTTGCGCTGCTCCCAAAGACACCGGTGGTGCTGATTTATTGCTTTGGTGGGTTAAGGCATGGCTGGCATTTGAAGAAGATCCCAGTTGGGCCTGCCCAAAAGGAGGGAGGCCTTCAAGTATTGCTTTTGGACTGTGGGGCACAGAGCGCTTGGGAGGGCTAATGGGCCTGGGAGATCTGGAACTTGACCTTGTGGGGGCAGGAAAGTGCTCAGAGGAGGCAGAGGAGTGTCGGGAACGTTGAGGGGATGGCTCCACACTGCCAGCTGGGGAAGAGATAGAGGATATTGAAGACCTAGTTGTAGAAGGAGAAGTCAGCACTCCACTACGAGGGAAAGGTGAAAATGCAGGAGGAGGCAGTACAAGGGAGGTTGTGTTGCTTGGGTTGTGCTCAGGAGTAGGGTGTGGGTTCAATAAGGGAACCTGAGACTGAATTAAAGGAGGAGAGTTTAATACATGGTGCTTTGGACTAGGTGGTCTACAGCTGTTGGAATCCAAGATGCCAAGTGGATCTTTCTCAAGAAAGGCAAACGGTCGTCGGGAGAGACCTGAGGAGACTCATCCAGCGTCCTTGAAAATGTGCCACCTGGCACAAAGCTACAAGCATTAAGAGCTATTGGTTTTGGAGAGAGGCCTGAAAGTTCTTGACTACATGAGGGATAGGAAGGCCGGTGTTTGGGAAGACTTTACTTGCGTAAAAGAACTGGAACACAGCTCATTAGATATGGCTTGTGGAGTCCTTGAAAACAACTCATAGTTACCATTTGATGGCACAGGTGGACAGTTTCTTAAGGCATAGGACTCACCAAGAGATGCCCCATGCTGCCTAGGTACAACAGGCCGCTGGCTGGATCGTAAGCCAGAGTACCTTTCTCCAGGATTAGGAGTTAAAGTATCCGATTTGTGATCCAGGGGATTTTCAGAATGGTGAGCAGGCATGCTATGGGCCTTCTCCATCATTAGTTTGGTGAAGATGTCAGGATCAAGAGAACATGGGTGTTGTCCCATCTTTGGGCTGGTGGATGCTGCATGAAAGTTTTGACTTGGGCCACATCCTGTTGAAGATAAACATAAAATAAACAAATATGTTCACTGACACACACAGAGGACTGAGAATATAAAATATGCTAGGTTGTCAATAAAATGGGGGAGATTTACTAAAGCTGGTTCACTCAGAATCTCGTGCACCTGTGCATGGTAGCCAATCAATTTCTAACCTCAGCTTGTTCAATTAAGCTTTAGCAATAAAACCTGAAAGCTGATTGGTTTTCCATGCAGAAGTGCACAAGATTCTAAGTGAAACAGATTTAGTAAATAAAGCCAAATGTATTTTGGAGGTTATTGTGCTCCAGCCAACATCTTAGGCTCCACGCACACTAGAATTTTTTTTTTTTTTTAGTTCAAGAAAACACTGGTAATAGCGTTTTTTTAGTAGTGTTTTAGTAGTGCTTTTGTAGTGTTCAGAAGGATTAGCTTTTTATTAGTGTTTTTACAGTACATGTAGAGGGTAGAAAAAAAAAAAAAAAAAAAGCTGTTAAGAGCATTTAGCGTTTGTTTTTCTGCTGGAAAAACACACTCCAAAAAAAAAAAAAAAAAAAAAAACTCTACAAACACAATTTTTTTTCTGCTCCTAAACACTGATGCTCAAAAAAATGCTAATAGCCTAAAGTAGTGTGCATGAAAACACGTGCATGGAGCCTGAAAGTGTTACTAAACCCAGGACCTTGCATTCACTATATCTGGTCTCCCACAGTACACAGAACATGAAAAAGCAATTATTTCAGTAAATATAAACTGCTAAGTACCCTTTCTCATCAGCAGTATTATAGCAGTCTTGTGACTTCTATCAGTGTCTGGCTGAGCACTGGTTAATCTTGTAGGAGCTTTTATTCTTCTCTGCCGATTGGTCCTGTGCCATTCACATGCACCCTCCCAAAAAAAAAAAAAATATTATCCCTAGCAATACACACCAAATTGAGCATGTGCAGAGTGTCTCCTAGGGCTTTGTACTATCAGCACATGGATTGGGGACTGCGGAAAGAGGGGAGGGTCAGAGAAGACAGGATCAAACAGCCTTTCTACATGATGCACAGGATTAACCCCTTAGGTTCCACAGTGAGTATAACAAACATGCTTTACTGCATATGCAGACTGATTTTACTGTTGTGGATTTAGTAACACTAAGTCAATTATAAAAAAAATAAAACTGGAAACAAAATGTGGTCATTACAGTTTAACCATGTGTAAAGCACAACTTCTTTCATTTGTTTCATGTAACATTCCAGATACTGCAATGTATTTCAGGAAACAAAATAATCACTTGGCAAAGCATTTGCTGCTGGTTATAATACTAAGCCAGGTAGAGATTTGAGAGTGAATTAGATCTACAACCTGAAGGTTGCAGCCATAATTCTCTTTAAGAATAATCTGCCTCATACTTGACGAGCCTCTCAGGATGAGCTCTGAACAGGATACTACAAGGAAAAGGCAGAGAAATATCTGTGTCGCTAACATTTTAACAATGAAATCAGATTATTATTATCATTATACAGGATTTATATAGCACCAATAGTTTGCTCAGCGCTTTACAATATAAAGGGAGACAATACAGCAACAATACAGTTCAATACAAGAGGCATAGGAGGGCCCTGCTCCATGGAGCTTACAATCTACGAGGAAGAGGCTGGTGGTACAAAAGGTAGTATCTGTGGGGGGATGGACTGGTAGGGGGAGTAGAAGATTCCATTATTAGCTGAGGGTAGGACAGGCTTCCCTGAAGAGATAGGTTTTCTGAGATCACCTAAAAGTGAGCAGAGTAGGCGATAGTCTGATAAATTGGGGTAGAGAGTTCTAGAGGATGGGGGAAGCTCTGAAGACGTCCTGGAGACCAACATGGGAGGAGGAGATAAGGGAGCTAGAGAGCAGGAGGTCGTGCAAGCAGAGAGTATGGTTTGAGTGATATTTGGAGACAAGATTGGTGATGTAATTTGAGGCAGAGTTATAAATGGCTTTATATGTTATTGTTAATGTTTTGAATTTTATCTGATGGGAAGCCAGTGGAGGGATTGGCAGAGAGGGGTGGCAGATACAGAACAGTTAGTAAGGTGGATAAGTCTGGCAGAAGCATTCATGATAGACTGAAGAGGCGATAGCCTGCGATGAGGTAGGCCAATGAGTTACAATAGTCAAGGCGAGAGATAACCAGGGAGTGAATAAGTTGCTTAGTAGTTTCCGAGGTTAGGAACGGGCGTATCTTGGAGATGTTGCGGTGGTGAAGTCTACAAGATTTGGACAGTGATTGGATTTGGGGCTGAAAGGAGAGATGGGAGTCTAGGATAACACCGAGCACCCTGGCATGAGGAAAGGAACTGATGGTTGTATTATTGATCTTGATGGAGACGTCAGGGGAGGGGACACGGGCTGGTGGGAATACTAGGAACTCAGTTTTTGAAAGATTGAGTTTGAGGAAGTGGATATGCCGATATGTCGCTTAGTAGGTTAGTAATGAAGAGAAGAAGAAGGGGTGAGGTGAGGGGTAGAAAGATAGATTTGTGTGTCATCAGCATAGAGATGGTGCTTAAAGCCATGGGAGTTTATCAAGTGACCAAGGGAGGAGGTGTAGATGGAGAAGAGTAGGGGTCCAATGACAGAACCTTGAGGGACCCCTATAGAAAGAGGGAGTGGAGAGGAGGAGCCAGAGTTATAGGTAGTGCTGAAGGAGCGCTGTGATAGGTAGCAGGAGAACCAGGAGAGAGCGGAGTCTCGGATGCCAAGAGAGTGGAGCTTTTTTGAGAAGGAGGGATGGTCAACAGTATCAAAAGCCGCAGAGAGGTCAAGTAGTAAGAGTACGGAGTAGTGGCCATTGGTTTTAGCAGTTAGTAGATCATTGTTTATATCTGCTTTAATGTTTTTATATGTACATGTGAAATAGATTAGTGTCATGTATATAACCTAAATACATTTATATATATATATATATATATATATATATATATATAGTCTGTACAGTAGGTACAAAGCCTAAAGGATAATAATAGTATAGGTGCCCCAAAATTGTATATAGTGTGAAATTATATATGTACTATGTATGTGTTCATACAACCTAACTTTGTACATTTACTGTATGTATAGGATTGACATTGCACAGTGCTTCATAGAGTGCAAAAATCCATTTCCATCAATTGCTTGCTCCCCAAAGACTCGCAGTTAGTCAACGTTAATCATCATGTTTTCTGACTGAGGAGTGAGGGGAGGTAATCAGTGCAAACAAAGGAAGAAAACACAAATTCTATGCAGAGATTGAGATGAGATTACACATACAAATTGAGCTCCTTGGTTGTGCTCTGCTGATACTCTTATCTCTGCAACAATGAAAGACAATGTGATCTTTGTCCAGGCTTTAAAGTATTACCAAACCCACAACAGTAAAATCTGTATATGCAGTAAAGCAGGTTTGTTTTATTCACTGTGGAACCTAAGAAGTTAATCCTCTGCATTGTGTAAGAACACAATTTGATCCTGACTTCTCTGATCCTCTCCATCTTCCAGTGCCCCCCTCTTATCTCCTGATAAGACATATTGTGTTGAGACACTCTGCACATGCTCAGTTCGGTGTGTATCGCTAGAGAGGTTTTTTTTTTTTTTTTTTTTCTTCCTTGACAGAGTGCATGTGATCAGCACAGGGTTAATCAGCACTGTGCAGACAGAGGTTAGGGGTTCTGCATCCTCCCAGAGCAAAATGAAATCTCCCCCTACAAGTTTTAACATGTGCTCGCCTGGACACTGATAGAAGTTACAAGACTGCTCTAACTGCTGATGCAGTTTAGGTTTACCAAGCAGTTTATATTTACTAAAATAATTGCATTTCCATGTTCTGTGTACTGTGGGAGACCAGATATAGTGAATGCAGGGTCCTGGGTTTAGTAACGCTTTACGCTATATGAGGGAGCTCAGGAGCTGTGTTTTTTAGGGCCTGCATCAACAGGCTTTGGGTTGCGTCAACAGCATCAGTATGACATCAGATTAAGATGGTTCTGAGGTCATTCAGAATTTACCGACAGGTACATTTGACATGCAGGTGACCTCTTTCTGACTAGCAATTAATCTGCTTCACGCGGATTTTGCATTCCTAAGACTTGATTGGGAATGCAAAACCTGTCTGAGGCAAACACATATCACGAAATGATACTTTTCGGAAGTTTACTCCAAAATGTAACTAGCTAGTGTTTCTGGGCATTTATAGGGATACCGGTAAGTAAACCTCTTATGTAGCCAAAGGTCTCCATCAGAGTTTAAAAATATCCAACACAAATATTTGGATAGCAAGTAATGACACAAATTTTACTGAATAGTTTTGGCGCCTGACCCCCAGCACAGGTAGTGTATGCATGTGACTGGTAGTCTTTGGCTTCAAATAGGGAAGTCTGGGATTTAAAAATTAGCTTAAAAGCTGGTTCTGAAAAGACCGACTACCTTTAGCTCTGCTGCCAGACAGTCAATCGACACCATCCTTTTCTCATTCCCCTTAAGCTCTCCTTGCCATCATACAACCCTCCTCTCCCCGACCCTCCCCTTCTTACCCCCCCCCCCCCCCCCCCCCTTCCACCACCATCAACCCAACCCCCCCCCCCCCCCCCCCCTTCTTCTCTGTCTCCCTTTTTTCCACCTTTTCTTCTGTCTTCTCTTTCAGATTTCTGAAAAAAGATAAAGCAGTGTCCCCTGAGGTGTTTTCTTTCCATGTTGGCTACAATCCATGCTTGTGTATACCAAGATATCTGACATCTGAGTGATTGTTTTATGGTTTTCTCTTGTGACATACTTGTACAGCTTTAGCCATTTTGTGATGCTTTCTAATGCAGTCCATAGACGGGTCGTTTATCGGCCGAATGTTCGTGGATCTTCACATTTATTTTTATCGATCATGCTGGAAAATCCACGAAAAACGACATTGGTGGCAGCATCGGCAACAGGGTCGTAAATTCGGCCGATAAACAGCTCGTCTATGGCCTGCCTTAGCTTGAAAACTGTTGTATTTAAACTAAAGAATTTAAAAAAAAAAAAAAAAAAAGCTGGGTCTGAAATTATAGTTTTAAACTTTATGTGTTATTATGGGATCATTTTAAGGAATAATGATGCATAACAGCTAAAGCAGTTGAAGTAGATGTAAACCCTAAATGACTGACATTTAGATTTCTAGATCACTCTATATCAAACTACTGGAACTACAGGTTTTTATTTTTAATAAAATACAGGTTTTAAGCTTTTTTTTTTTCTTCCTATGCAGCAAAGTGGCTGCCAGGAGATCTGCAGAATGGAAATGCAGAATTTTTCTGTCAAATGCATGTTTCTCCAGCGAGCAAGGCATTTCTCAGGGCAAGTTTTTTAACCTCTTCCCTACTGTGCTATAGCCAAAAGATGGCTACAGCACAGTTGTCTATTTCTGGGAGGACGTCCACCCAGAACACGCCCCCTGCGCGCCCCCAGCGGCGCTGGTGATCGCTGTGGCCTATGGACACAGCTGAACACGTGATACAGTGATGACACAGCAGATCACCGGGTAAATACAGTTGCCAGTTATCGGCTACACTTTCCACACGCTAATGATCGGCACTGATCATCAGGACACCGATGATCAGTGCCCACCTGTGCCCATCCGTGTCGCCCACCTGTGCTCTGCAGCTCCGCCCAGCAGTGCCACCCACCTGTGCCCAGCAGTGCCACCCATCAGTGCGGCCCAGAAGTGCCACCCATCAGTGCTGCCTATTCGTTGCACCTCATCAGTGCCCATCAGTGCTGCCTATCAGTGCAGACTCATCAACGCACATCAGTGAAGGAGAAAAATTACCTGTTTGCAAAATTTTATAATAGAAATAAAGCAAAAAATTTTTTTTTTTTTTTTTTTTTTTTACATTTTTTGCTCTTTCTGTTTATAGCGCAAAAAATAAAAAACACCCAGTGGTGATTAAATACCACCATATGAAAGCTCTATTTGTGTGAAAAAAAATGATAAAAATTTCATATGGGTACAATGTTGCATGACCACACAATTGTCATTCAAAGTGCGACAGCACTGAAAGCTGAAAATTGGCCTGGGCAGGAAGGGGGTATGAGTTCCCGGTAGGCAAGTGCTTAATGATAACAGTGGACCATCTGAAGCCAGAGTTACAATTAGAAAACACAGAAGTACAATTGGGAGAAAGGGACAGAATGTTGTCCCTTAAGCAGGAAGTATCCTCAGCCAATATGCCCTGAATCACATTTTTGCATTAATAAAGCATATACTGTAGATAATAAGTATCTATATTATTTAGAATGGCCGATAGGATTTGTGAAAAGAAGGAAACTTTATATACACACTTCTTTTCGCACATATTTCATTTTTCTTTTAAACTGCAATTTATTTCTACTCAAAGAAACAATTGAGTACTGTCCGTGATACATTTTTTATTTGCACTAACATACAATTTTGAGGACAAGCTTTTGGGGAGTGTCCCCTTCTTCAACCAAATCAACCCATCAAAAAGTGTCAGACACTCAAAAGGGATCTTCAATATCTCCGAATCATACAGCTGCACCTCCAGTAATGTTGTGTACCTTATCCAGTGCAGAAAATGCAGCAAAGGATCTTATGTTGGTGAAACAGGGCAGAAGTTACAAACAAGGATGAATTTTCACAGACATACCATCAAGGAACATAAAGAAGATGACTTTTGCACACCTGTGGGACATCATTTTGCACAACCAGACCACACAATGGGAGACCTCAATATTTTAGTTCTTAAAGGAAATTTCAAATCCATTCAGGAAAGAAAAAACTTTTGAACTAAGAATGATAATTCTATTTGACACAAGAGATAACGGCCTTAATTTGGACTTGGAATTCCTCACTCATTAGCCAACAGTTTTATGACTATCACCTCAAGCATGACTCAACATTCTGCTAAAACTTTGTGAGTAGTACTGCTTGGACCTTGACGAAGGGGGACACTTCTCAAAAGCTTGTCCTCAAATTTGTATGTTAGTGCAAATAAAAAATTATTCCGGACAGTACTCAATTGTTTCTGTCGCAAATGCACTAATACGGCTACAATCACCTCAAGCGTTTCTACTCAAAGGAAATTTACTTCTTTTTTTTTTTTTTTTATAGAATTTGTTTCTGCTCAGAAGTGGCTTGATCCAACCCTCCCATAAATTCCTGTACATCATTTATTCTAATGTTTTACTAATGGCTGATTAAAAGCCACTGTGGTTGACATTGTTTCTGGTTGCTGGAATCAGCTTTTATAAATAGTAGTTGAGTTAGAGCTACAGTGCATTTTGGAAGAGTTCTCCTGCATTAAGCAGATAATGGCTAGGACAGATCTGAAAGTGTGAACGGGTTACAAGTCATCTCAGGTTTTGAATATAAGCAAAAAAAGTTAATTGAAACATAAGAAATACACACCAGCAGCTTGATTTTGTAGTGCAAGGGGAGTACTTTCAATGCTCTTGTATAAGGTAGCAAGGGCCACAATTTTCCTACGATGGTTGCAGAGTTTGGTCATGTCCTCCTCAGCCTTTACGTCTTCTGCGCTGCGCCTCTTCACCACTGCTCTAGGATCAAAGTTAAAAACCTGCAGACAATAAAGTGAAAGAGTTTCTTCAGCCTAACTAATGCAATGACTAATTAACAAAATATTACTTTTATGTAACTGAAAGCAGAAAGGAAAGGATAACAATGCAAATACTAAGGTAATGTCTGATATTAATTTTTCAGTTGATAAAAGTATATAAGCTGCTAGTGCTGACCTCTACTTCTGAAAATGCTGATTCTCTGGCTATCACGCTGATGAACAGCCCCTTTTACTTGTGGGGTCACAAGTCCAAATGGCTGATTCACACCAGATGCAGTCCAATATTTTTTTTTTTCTGCATCAAAATGCACGCACAGTGTTTTCCGTGTATTCCAATGGCCCTAGTTCACACAAGTGCAGTAAGTTCCAGTGTGCTCCGGTGCAGAAAAAATAAAGTAGAAGATGCTGCTTTTTACTGCACAGAACTGTACTGTAACACAGCAAAATTCATAAAAAATGCACTGAAACAGAGTGTGGTGTGAACTGTAAAGCACAAACACATCTGGAGTGCGCTTTTGTGGTGTGAACAGTCCCTCCATGTGGAAATAGAAATTCAAATGCACTCTGACTTTACTTGCTTTATGCTTGCATGAGATCAGTGACTTAGGCTGGCCATACATTATACGATTATCTGGAGATTTTTGGTTTAGATTTACCAAAAACCATATAATAGGAGGACAAACCTAAACAACACTTTCAGTTGTATCCATTTAGGCAGGCCCTTGCACTACACAGTTGAAGGTAAATCTAAACGAAATTGGGCAGAAAATTGGAAGATAATTGTATAATGTATGGCCAGCCTTAGCCCTGTTCACGCTGATGTGATTTCATATGTGAATCGGATTGCACTGAATCGCATGATAAGGGAAATAACACTGATTCCTAGGAAACCCGTTCACATTAATGCAGCGCAGCTGTGATCAGGTTTTGAGAAAGGGTCTTTTGATTGTTTTGTGCAATGCAGTGTGATTCTGTGGTCCATAGACCAATAGAAAAAAAACTTTCAAATCACTTATCTGTCCTTTTGTCAAACAGGATTTCTTCCCCAGCACAAATTACAGCTGTATCCAAAATCAAGTTAGAATCACATCAAGCCGCACTGCAACTGCACTTGAACGCACTGAAAATCATATCAAATTCACACTGCATCAGTGTGAGCCTAGCCTTAAAGCGGAATTTCATTCTCTCAATCAACATTGACTATTTTAAATCCTTGTGCTGCTAGCAAATTGTTTTGTACATTTATTTAGTTACTCCCTGGTCTCCATGCCTAGGCAAATTATATCACACATACCAAGAGTCTTCAGGAGGGTTTTTTTTTTTTCAGCTAAGCACACCGTCCTGCCTGCATGCCTGGGCTAAGGGCAGATGGATTCCAGGAAGTAAATGATACATGAATCATCTGCCCTTAATCAAGATGGCTGCAACCAGAAATGCAAGGGGGTGTTTTTCAAAGTGATTTGAAAAAAACAAAACATGGAGACATAGATGGATGTATGAGTTTGCTTTGAATAATAAAAATTAGCATTTTTGGTTGTGGTGCTCAGATGCAGTGTAGATCCACTTTAAATTATTGAAACAGACAAGCAACAAGAATTTTCAGAAGAGGTCTGGCAGTCTCCATATTTCTCTTACTACTGGCTTCCTTTAAGTAAATAGTAGGTGGTACATAAAAAAAAAAAAATTAATGGAACAGGAGCATTTGCATTAAAGGATATGTTCACCTTTGGAACATGTTCCACCCGTTAGGTCGCCCGCCCCCCCCCTCCCTCTGACAGACCTCTCCCGGTACTGACAGATTTGAAAACAGCGCGGCTGTGCGGGGTTTCACCCACATGGCAACGTCACTAGAGTTCTGTGAATGAGTGCCTACAAGTCCCAGCAGCCTCAGAGGCTGTCGGCTTGTAGTTTTAATGAACTACCACGGTGCTGTGAAACACTGTAGTAGTTCATTGAAGCTTCCTGTCAGAATATCTGCCTGACCGTACATCCCGTATGGCAAGCAGATATTCTGACAGGTCTGCAGGAGACCTGCATAGCATCAGCAATCTACTGATCATTGGTGCAAGGTTTTCCAGGATCCTTTGGACAAAAATAATGAATGCACATTTTTTTACCTGCAAAACAATGTGAATATATTATTTTTGTCCAAAAGGTAAACTTATCCTTTAAAGAAGAGTGGGCTCCCTCCAGGCAAACCAGCCCTTAATTTATCCTTTGCTATATGTGCTCCAAATTGGAGAAATCCCAAAACTATACAGTTAGGACCACAGTATACACAGTATACAAAAGGAGTCTAGGCTTTCACATATAATTGCAAATGTTAGCTGGTAAGTGTGCTGCGAAATTTTCTGTTTTTGATATGCAAAGCCCTCCCATGTGCACCTTACCGCAAAGGCTAGTGCTAGATTGGAGTGATTGCCACTTATCTGTACAGCTTGTCTGCTGGATTTTAGTGCAGGGCAAATTGGATGCCTCCAGCTGCCATTGTGCTCTTGCTGAGCATCCAGTGTCTCCCTGTGCCTTTAAAGAGGAGTGGGCTCCCTCCAGGCAAACCTGCCCTTAATTTATCCACTGCTATATGTGCTCCAACTTGGAATCTCTCAAAACTATAGAGTTAGGACTGCAGTATACAGAGGAGCCTTGGCGGGGCACTTCATCTTTCACGTATATTTGCAAATGTCTGCAACAAAACCTTCTGTTTTTAACATGACTTATTAGAGGGGGTCAATTTGTTTTTAGTTTTTATATGCAGGTTAGCTAGTAGGTGTGCTAGAAAATTTTCTGTTTGTCATTGCTATTAAAACACAAGTCTTGAAGAACAGTGACTCTGTCATTCCAACCCTACTCGGAGCCAAAAATTTCACTTCATGAAAAATATACTACCGTACCTGGAAATCCTATTTCACCTGGTTTGAACACAGGTTTTTCAACCCTAGAGATTACTGTGGACCTTGTATTCAGCCTTTCCTACAGTGACCAGAATTTGGCCTTAAGTATTCTTTTGGAACAGGATGGAAAAACCTTTCACATAAGTCTTCCTTCGCATTTCCTTTTTAGAATCTTTAAGTTGTCTCATGGGTCAAACCCCCATTACAGCGCCCTGTGCTTCCCTGGTTGCGGGAAAGAAATTTACTCCATCTATGGCCTGCCTGAATTTTTTTAATTAAAATAATAAACATGTCATACTTACATGCTCTGTGCAATGATTTTGCACAGAGCAGTCCCAATCCTCTTCTGGGGTCCCCTGCTGGTTCTCCTGACTTCTCCCCCACCCCGCTGGCAGAGGGTAGCTACTATTAAAAGTTTAGGGTTTTTTTTTTTTTTTTAACTTAATGCAGATAATGCATTACAGTAAAAAACCTTTTACCTTTACAACCACTTTAATTTATCAGGGTGTCCAATGTGTCCCTATGCCTTTAAAGAGGAGCGGGCTCCTCCAGACAAGCCTACCCTTAATTTGTACATTGCTATATGTGCTCCAATATGGAGACTCAAAGCTAAAAAGTTAGGACCGCAGAATACAGAGAAGTCTTGCCGAGGTACTACAGCTTTCACATACACTGTATTTGCAAATGTGTGCAACAAAACCCTGTTTTTAATGTGAATTGATCTGAATTGATGTGTTTTTAATCTGAATGTCGCAGCTGAAATGGTGACTTATCACAACAAGCAACATTTTTCCAATCTTCTATTGTAAAATTTTGGTGAGCTGGTGTGAATTGTAGCCTCCGTTTCCTGTTTTCAGCTGACAGAAGTGGCACTTGAGATCTTCTGCTGCTGTGCTGCTTCTGTACCCCATCTGCTTCAAGGTTCGGCATGTTCTGCGTTCAGAGATGGTATTCTGCATATCTTGGTTGTAACAAGTGGTTATTTGAGTTACTGTTCCTTTAGAACAGCAGTTTTTGAAATACACAGACGAGCCTATCTGGCTCCAACAACCATGCCATGTTCAAAATCACTTAAATCTCTTTTCTTCCCCATTCTGATGCTCGTTTTGAACTTCAGCAAGTCATCTTCACCATGTCTAGATGCCTAAATGCAATTTGTGTTAACAAGAAATTGAACAGGTGTACCTAATAAAGTAGCCGGTGTGTGCAAGGCTGCTCAGAAGGGAAAGTGCCTTAGAGAGGATTATCCCTCATTACCTGACATTCTTTTAAAGTATAAGAGAGGGGTCAATCAACAGCTAATGGCAAGGGAGAGGAGGAAAACATACTTTTGACCCTTTTGAGTAGGTTCATGCTGGCTAACACTGTCTACAGGTGATAGACAGTATCCAGTGGCAATACATGACAAAACCAGACCTGGCTGGATCTTGTAGACAAGTAGCCTATTTTGGGAATGCCGTCTGCAAGGGCTCCTGGCAGCTGTTCCCTTCACAGGAAGTCATCTGAGTGTCCTACATTAAGGATGCCATGATAAGATATTAGGGCAGCTACTATTATTATAATACAGGATTTATATAACGTCAACAGAACTCGCATCGCTTTACAATATAAAAAGGGAGACAGTACAGATAAAATACAAGAGGGCCCTGCTTATAACTACTAGAGCTAATACCCAACTACTAGAGCTAATATAGGTAGTACAGTGGCTAAATGGTTAGCAATTCCGCCTGGCAGTACTAGGGTCGTTGGTTCAAATCCCAGCCACGGCACCTCCTGCCTGGAGTTTGCATGTTCTCCCTGTGCCTGTGTGGGTTTCCTCTGGGTACTCCGGTTTCCTCCCACACTCCAAAGACATGCTGGTAGGTTAATTGCATCCTGTCTAAATTGTCCCTAGTATGTGTATGTATGAATGTAAGTTAGGGACCTTAGATTGTACGGCCCTTGAGGGTTAGGGACTGATGTGAATGTACAATATATATGTAAAGCGCTGCATAAATTGACGGCGCTATATAAGTACGTGAAATAATAAATAAAATACCCAGTACCAGATGTGCAGGCAAAACACTGAGTATTAAGAGCGCAGTTGACAGAGCAGGCAAGAGGGTCTCAAGAAAATTAGAGAAATTAATGCATTGATGCATACCAGGTGCCAATAATAGACCTACATGCCGCAAGGGAAGATAAATGCCCCAAGGGACAGGGAAGAGGCCATAATGGCACAGATCCCCTGAATTCAGCTGACAGAAGTGGGAGGGAAAGTACCATTGGGATGAAGAAACCCCAAAGGGGCAGAGAAAGGTTTGTTAATCAGAGGGGTGTACATGGGGCAAAGGGTGAACAATTGAACAAGGGATTAGCCTATAATCTTAAAACTCCACTCTCTGCACCTGAATGCTGGAATGGCAAACTACCCAAAGACCTGCAAGATTAGCACCTCTTGCTTAGAAAATTAAGGGTGCATCTTCATGCTGAAGACTTCTCTGAGGGATTGGTAGATTCTTTGCTTCCACCCTTGCAGGCTGTCTGAGAACCAGGCTTACAGGGTTGAGATGATGATGTCAAAAGGTATCTTCAGAGAGATGATGTCCCTCAATGTTCATGTAAGTTAGGAACTCCAGCTTCTCATTTTTAACATTTATAGACTGGCGATGACATTGACAAAGCATGGAAGGTTGTTAAGGCTCTTTATGATGCAAAGTTGATGGCTTACTAATTCATGGTTCAGAACAAAATGCATATTTTATACTTGTATTCTGGGTATGCGATAATGAAACTTTACATGGTGATCCTACAGTGCATAAGATGGATATTTTACCTTTGTAAATGAGTAGACCATGTTGTGCTAACAGTACATGCTGTTGCTACTGTTCAATAGTTTTCAATAGTTTTGTTCTGTGCCCTTTTGATGGGCTTGTTTGTATTATAAAAAGTAAATGTGTGATCAATACAAAAAATATCTGATAAAAAAAAGTAAGCCGGGAACTTCTTGGATATTGCATAAGCTACTCAGCACCTTAACCAGAAAGATCTACATATCTGCACTGACAACAGACCCATACAGGATACAAGTTTGGATACTTCAAACAAGCTAGGACTCCAGACATCTGCTCCACATTTTCTTTCAGAAAACAGTCAACTGTGGATTCCTGGCTTGGGCGGGTCATATCCAACACCCGATCAGGTGGGGAGCAGGACCCTTCAGTCCGCACTGAGACAGCAGGCTGATCCTCCAGATGCAGGTTAGTATATACTGCATCAATAGGAAAACAGTCTCTTGTGTGTCTGAGGTAATGGAAGGAGATTGTAATTGCTGAAAGGCAATATTATCAGAGATGGTAGCAACCCTGAATATGAATCAAAGAAGGTTACTGCGACCAGCGGCCCAATTTCTTTTTAGACCATAGTGAGATCAGAAATGGACTTTGCAATGAAGGGGCAGGAGTGAGCTATAAGCCTCTGCAGTCAATACCCGCAAGTAATTTGAATAATTTGACTACAAGCACTTGTGAATGCAGTAGAGGCCCGACAAGAGTGGACTAGGCCTCACCTGACAGAGCTAAGGGAGACTTTAGTGAAGTAGATCCTTAATCTGCAGGGTAGAAGGATTCCAGTTTATGAGTCAACATCTTTGGATGGTACAAAATGAAAAATTCCCAAAATTCGAATGTTAGCTGAGGTCACCCACTTCAGTGGGAACATCCCTTCTGTGTCTAGCTGCAAACATGCTGCTACTGTGTGGTGGTGATTCAAACAGCTCAGGGTAGAGGCCATGGCCTCACGTTCTCACAAAGGCAAGCAAGCTTGTAGCAAATGAGGCCATGACCAAGGCCACTGTAGATGGGCAGCAAGAATAGACAGAAGAGTGGAGTTCCACATGGGTCATGAGTCTTCAAAAACAGGGCAAGCACAGAGGCAATGGCAACATATTTAGACCTGGAAGAACTCCATTGCTACTCTGTTACTGGAGTTTGGAAAGCACCGACATGGAAGCCAGTGCCCAAAAGTCACTTCCAGGCTAGTTCCGCAATATGCAGAGAGGTCTGTAATACATTAAGTCTCATCTGTATGATAATTTGAACATTGTACTTGCATGAATACACTTTTTATTCAACTATATAGGAGCATTAATCCACCCCTATTCAGTATTCTATATATTTAAGCCTTCTTTAGCCATGCGCTCACTAGTATTTTAAATGTAGTTGTTTGTGCTTATTTTCTTCATTAATTACTATCCATAATTCTGCACCATTAAAATCTTCCTACTAGTGACCATAGTCTTCGTATTGCTTTTTTAGCTTACTAGTAAAAAAATAAAAACATTTTCAACACAGCACAGACGGCTAATCATTGCACAATCCCCTCCTTTACCTAATATCTTGGACACAAAAAACAGAAACACAGGAAGAAATATAAAAAGCAAATCTGTCTTTTCTATAATATAGCACTTATTGTGTGCATTTTTGCTATTGCTCATATTTTTTGCTTATATTTCCTTATGCCTCTGTTATTCTGCATGATACCCAGTGAATGGGTTAATAGAGCTTCATTTTGAGGTTTCATATATAGAATAATAGGTTAATCTTTCCTTTTTTTTAATTTTCTTCTCACTTTTTAATTTTTTCACACATTTCACTCATGCACATCCCTTCACACTCTCAGAATTCACTTTAAGATATTTTTTATAAAACATTTCTCACTTCTCTCAATTTTTATCTTCACTTCTTTTTGTCATTCATTTGACCTCCAGGCTTCTTTCTGACACTTTTGTTTATATGTAAAAATCAGTATTGTTTGCTAGAAAATGAGTTGGTACCCCCAAACATTATATTTTTTTTTAAAGCAGAGGCCCTACAGAATAAAATACATAACCCAATTTTTTGGAAAAAATATGTTGAATAAACTAATACCAAACATGTCACGCTTCTAACTACGCATGCTTGTGCAATGGTGACAATGTAAATCTTACTATCCATAGGTGATGCTTTAAAAGCCTCTGACGTTGTTTGCATGGACCGAAGTGCACATTCACCTTTGCGCGCGTGCATGAGGGGACAGGGGCGCTTTACATTTTTTCTTACTTATCACTTCATTTTTATTTTTACACTGTTGATTTACATTTTTTTTAAAAATCACTTTCATAGGCATGTGACAGATACTCTTTATGGAAAAATCTGGGGTCTACAAGACCCCACATCTCTCCTCTGCCCTTAAAAATACATTCAAAACACCAAGATTGGTGTTTTTCAATGCTTTTAATTTTTTAAAAATGGTACCGTTGACATCCGGGTAAACAGGAAGTGATGTCAGGTCATTTGCTTCCGGGTTACTATAGTGGAGAGCCGATCAAAGTCAATCCCGGCTTTGTAAGGTTGTTCAGCAAGCTAGCAGACATGCTGGATGGTCACTTGAGTCTCCGGTGGGACAGGAAAGCCGAGAGAGCTGTGGGAGACAACTACTGGGGAAGGTATCCCCACCCACTGCTTGAAAAAGCAATCCAGCAGCTAGTTAGCTGCTAGGATTGCTTTCACAACGGACTGTCGGCTCAAAAAAAAAACAAAAAAAAAACCAAAAAAAAAACAAACAGTACTGGGGTGATGCCTGCAGCTGCAAGCATCATCCCAGGATAACTGCTTGAAGTCCAGCAACTTACTGGTATGTTGGTGGTCGGCAAGTGGTTAACTTTATTTCTCACACTTGTTAAACACATTTCTCATTGCAATCACATGCACATATGTCCCAGCTTCACCCTTCACAGCTAATTATGTATACATTCTGTTATTCTGTCTATACTCCCTACCCACATGATTAAGCCCCAGTGGGTGGGGCGAAACATGTTAGGGGGCATGGCCCGTAGAGCGGCATTGACTGAGGCCTTCACATGCACACATTCCTTCTAGGATCAGCTAAGGTAAGTGGTGGTTTTCATCTAAAATGAGCAGAGAGGTCTGGGTACTGCACTCCAAAGCTAGGATAAGGAAAAAGACTTGTATGGATAGGATAGCTAAAGAAAAGGCATCCACCATCTCAGGACACTAACAAAAAAATGCACACATGATATGTAAAGGAGAGTTATCCTGGACTGGCGCATGGATTTTTTTGTTTGCCAGTGACCAGTCCTCCGGTAGGCAGAAAAATAAATTGACAGTATACACCTTCCTATGTCCCTCAATGGACAAGAAAGAAATGAGATTAGTCTTTTCTTACTACAATTCTACTCCCAGTAAAGCCTAGAATGAGCAATGGAGAAAATAAGAGAACACTCACCTTGTAGATGTTAAGTGGACACTCCAACCCACACTTACAGGTTCCATCCGTTACTAGGTAGGTCTTCAACTGATCCATAGAGGTAAGAACTGTACCACTTGGACTGAAAGACAGATATTTTTTTAAATCAACAAATTAAGGCCAAATGTAATATTACATCTATAGGTCAACTAAAAATGTAAATATGCTTATACAGTGCCCAAACTATATATCTATAAACATTGCATTTTGCTACCGGATTTAATAATTTCCAAGATGCAACTATATATCAAGTAGCACTAAGATGGTAAATGGGAAAAATTAACTTTTCATTACTATTCTTGGCACAAAATGGCAAGTTAAGTCTGTTAATTTTAATTTTATTTATTACAGGTACTTATATAGCTCCTTCAATTTAAGCAGTGCTTTACATATACTTATATATTGTACATTCACATCAGTCCCTAACCCTCAAGAAGTGTACAATCTAAGGTCCCTAACTTACATTTATACATACATATACTAGGGCCAATTTAGACAGGCCAATTATTTATTCAATATTTTTATTACTACAGAAAAAATGATAGAAGTAGTACTAAAAAAAACGGTTTCTTAAAGTACATTATAGGACACGGGCTCTTTAGTATTTAATTAATTTGTAAAGCACGGAGCAAAAATGTTGGTGCTATATAAATCCTGTATAATAATTATTAATATACTAATGTTAACTATGGGTTATATGCAGCTACCTTCAGATGAAGGGTCAAAAAAGGAAGCTACAGGGACAACCCCTACATAACCCCTCCCATTATCCGCTTTCCTTAATTCTGTATAAACCAAAAGGGATATTATAATGAACAGAGTGGAGAGGCGTGTTCTGTACTGTACTCCAAGAAACTGCATTTACAGGTAAGCAAAAAAACCTATTTTCTTAGTCACACAGTACAGGACATGGGAGGGCCCATGACAAAGCTGCCAGGGATCTGAGTATGTCCAAATACTACTTCGTCCTGGGCCAGTTCAGTGCAATGATTATCAGTGGAATGCCCTCCATCCTGAGAAACAGACAAGGGAAATATTGGAGAGGTGCAAAGGTGTAGATCAGGTGAAATGAATCCCATGCTCTTACCAGAGCAGCCATTATGAAGGCTAGACAGTCTCAGATCTGGCAAATAACCTGCCCAATTTGTTGTTGAATCTGGAATACAGAAGATATATGTCTAACCTTCCTTATCTGTGGCAAGTGGATTTGAACACCTCCAGAAGGAGAGACCATTCCCCTGATCCAGACATTGACAACTGAGAAGTCCTCCTGCTCATTTTCCATGCATGGAATACGGAGAGTGGACAGGGCTAGAATGTGTAGTTCTGCCCAAGAGATGATCAAGTCCACTTCCCTATGAGCAACGCAACCTCTGGTGCCTCCCTGATGCTTGGCATAAGCCAAGGCCATGACCATTCATGCAGTAGCATACGGTCAAAAGTAAAAGCCTTAGCTGGTGGTGAATGGAGGGATCTGATATGGAGCAGGGGTCTCAGGCCATGCACTTTGTCCAGACAGTAAGGGTCTGACAAACTTCCATGGTCATAGCTGATCGATTCTTCTATGTCCAAGTATTAAACAACCTAGCTTCTTCCTAGAGACCGTCAGCTTCATGTTCTGGGTCACACCATGTCCAACGAATGCTTTGCCATTTTCTCTCATCACAAATGTGCAAGTTCTAATGTAATAAAACATCTTCCAGCTGTATAATAAGCTCTCTGTGTGTCGCTCACTATTCTGTGTGTGCCTGTGTCAAATCTAATTACTATTGTGCTCTCACCTGCCCAGAACTAGAATGGAGGGACACAGGGATTTTGGAATAGGTAGTTGTTCACATGAAAGGTTAGCCTGCAGACTACAGACAGAGGTCATGCATTAACCTATGCAGTGCTATGCAGCATGCTGCATGTTTGAACACAACAGAAACTACTAACACAGGAATGTGAAGATTTACTCTTCCAAAGACTGTGCATACAGGGCAACAAATGAGACCATGAAACGATATGATCAACGTACACCTTATGCAGATGAAAAAAACACAAGTTGCAAATAGGAAAGTTTATAATGCCTTCAAGCTTGGATAAAATACTCCTCAACAGGAGGGGGGGGGGGGGGATCTTCCTCATTTACTTGCTCCTCAGGCAGTGTATCTACAGCAAAAACAAAGTCAGAGACCAACCCAGGAAGGAAGAATGAATAAATGAAGCAGCTTGCTTGTGACACTTGTTATCTACAGTCTCTATTCTGCCCATGAAATCAGATGATGTGGCAGAAAATGCTTCCCTAGATAAGTAGAAGGAAGGCTGTGTGGCCAAGAGACCTGCAGAGTGCGGTCCAGGAATAGTCCTAGGCACAGCAGAGGAGTCAACTGGTCTGAAAGCTGAGGAGGGAACCATGGTGGCTATTGTGCACCCAGAAATATTGATAGTAGAATAGTTTAATGAAGAAAAAAAAACTCCACAGAAAAGAGGTAAGTAAGAAGCACTTAAGAACAGTAGTTAAAAAAAAAAAAAAAAAAATCTAGCTGGGAGTAAGAGAGGTCATATAGGGGATGTCCCTGCAACTCTCTTTTTTTTGTCCAATCACCTAAAGGTAACCTATGGTTAAAGAAAAAAGAACCTTTGTCCTGTATTGTACAACTAAAATTACTATATTTCATATGCATTTATATAATGACTGCAATGCATACTAACAATATGAATATATACACACGCGCGATCACGTTAGCAGAGCTGTTATGAGTCAATCTGATTCATAACAGCTCTGCTTCTCTTCCTAGTGAGCTGTAATTGGCCCACAGCTGTCACAGGATACATGGGGCCAATCACAGCATCCTGTACCATGTGACCAGCTCCAGCCAATCGCAGATCATTATCTTGAGCTGCCAAAAACCTAACTCATTCAAGACAGTTCATGAATGAGTTAGCTTCATGACAGCAAGCTTTGCATTGCAGAAGAAATGAGCTTTATCATTTAAGTGTAAAAAAAGAATCCCTGATCACCCCCCTACAGTAGTACAATGTTACGGTGGTAACATCGTACTATTCTGATAAAAATATTTAATAAGAAAAATGTTAAATATAAAATACTGTATTGAGAATTAACTGCTGCTTGCCGATCGCTTGGGCAAGCAGCGACTCTGAGCGAAGCGATATAATCATGTCGCTTTCTATTTCGGAGTGTGAATGCACCTGCGCACACCGCCGGTCTAGGGAGAGAAGAGAGAACACCGCACTAAGTAAAAGTACTACATTGCCCGCACACTATAGGTCGCTGATCACTCCTTTTACTAGTATAGTATTGTACGGATGAATATAATGATCACGAACAGAACTATCCTAGCGCCTCCTTTGTATAGTGTCCCCAAAAACGCAGTGTTTACCAGGATTCGTCCCGTTTGCGGCCAGCACTAGCATTTAGCCCCTCCGCTATTGTTCATGGAAGAGTTGTTCCAATTGATTGTGGGCCAGAGCAATTTATATGCACAACAATATATCGCCACCCAAATTCAACTCTTGCCAGACAGTTCAGATGGAAATCACGGTTTCTGAATTTAAAACTTTTTTGGGCCTAACGCTCAACATGGGCATTACAAAAAAGATTGACATGCGGTAATATTGGTCCAAGACCTGATTCATCATATGCCCATGTTCTCTGCGGTTTCATATATAACCAACATGAACCAGCAATGTACTGGTACGTTGCTGGACTTTCAGTGGTCATACGTGGAAGATGCCTGTAACTACATCCTGGTATCGTTTTTTTCAGCTGGCAGTCTGCTTTCATGTAAAAGCATACCTAATGGCTAATTAGCTGCTGGATCAATTTTACAGGCAGTGGGAAAGGACCCCCCCCCCCCCCTTTCGGTCTTTGATTATGGCATAAAAAGTAAAAACCACAGAGGTGATAAAATACAACCAAAAGCTTTGTGTGAAAAAATGGACATAAATTTTGTTTGGGTACAGCATTGCACGACTGCGCAATTACCAGTTGAAATAGTGCAGTGCCGAACAGAATGGCCTTGTCACGAAGGGGGATAAATCTTCCGGAGGGCAAGTGGTTAATAATATAACAGATTACAAAATCTTCAGTTTTACTCAAATTAGTTGATGTAAAAATGAATACACCCCACAACAAAAACTACTACATCTAGTATTTTATATGATCTCCATGATTTGTAAGAACCGCACCAAGCCTTCTAGGCATGGAATGAATAAGTTGGCGACATATTGCAACATCAAACTTTTTCCATTCTTCAAGAACGACCTCTTTTAGAGCCCGGATGCTGGATGGAGAATGATGCCGAACTTGTCTCTTCAGAATTCCCCGTAAGTGTTTGATTGGGTTCAGATCAGGAGACATACTTGGATACTGAATCACTTTCACCCTGTTCTTCTTCCGAAATGCAACAGTGGCCTTAGATGTGTGTTTTGAATCATTGTCATGTTGGAAAAGTGTACAACGACCAATGGAATGGAATGATGGTAGCATCTTCTCTTTCAATATAGAGCAGTACATCTGTGAATTCATGATACCATCAGTGAAATGCAGCACCACGATACCAGCAGCACTCATGCAGCCCCACAGAAGGACATTGCCACCACGTTTCGCTGTAGGCACCATGCATTTTTCTTTGTATGCCTCACCTTTGCAATGTCATACAGTTTTGAAGCCATCAGTTCCAAAAACATTTATCTTGGTCTCATCACTAGAGTAGAGTCCCAGTAGTCGTCTTCTTTTTCAGCAATAGCCCTGGCAAATTCTGGGCGGGCTTTTTTGTGCATGGGCTTTAGGAGAGGCTTCCTTTGTGGATGACACACGCATGCCATTCCTCTGCAGTGTACACCATATTGTGTTAGAGGAAACAATCACCCCACTTTGGCTTTCTACTTCTTTAGCTAACTGCAGTGAACTTGCACAGCGTTTTTCTTCAACCCTTCTCATCTGAAAATGCTCCTGTCAGGTTTTAAATTTTGTGGATGGCCAGGACATCTCTGTGAGATGGTTGCAGTTCCATCTTTGTTAAATTTTTGTATCATTTTTGCTACAGTGTGGTGCCATTGCTGAAAGCATGAAATGGGAAGGGTTTTTGTTTTTGTAAAAAATAACACCCTTTTATAATCAACTGTCTGCTGGATACCTGTTTAATAGATAATTAGGCTCAACTGTATACAGTCTTACCTTATGTAAATCACAGTGCCTGGCTCCACCCTCCTTTGCCAGCCAATAGGCACCTGGACCATTGGGACCCCTCCATAGTTATCTCCTCCTCCACTTTCACTGCCACCATTCATTTTGTTCTCTCTTCTTTCTTGTACCTGTAAGGAAAGGATGGCACAAACATTACTTTAGGTAGTTTTACAGTAAAGCTGTACTATTCCAATATAGCACACCATATTGTGTAATCTATAGAACAGATTCAAAAAGATATGTCCATCGAAAACTGGTATTTTAGTTTTTAAAAGGTGCTGGAGAGTTACAGTGCCTTGAAAAAGTAATCATATCCCTTGAAATTTTCCACATTTTGTCATGTTACAACCAAAACCAAATGCACACCACACTTTTCAGATATTTGTAAAAAATGTTGAAAACCATTTATCATTTTCCTTCCACGTCACAATTATGTGCCACTGTGTTGGTCTATCACATAAAATTCCAATAAAATGTATTTACGTTTTTGGTTGTAACATGACAAAATGTGTAACTTTTAAAGGGGTATGAATACTTTTTCAAGGCACTATAAACCACTAAAAGGCCTCTCAGGGAATCGAGTTGCAGGATGTGTGCTCGAGTTTCCAGATATCAACATTTTGCTGTCATCTTTATGACAAGATTCCCTTCTTTGCGTTGGATTTTAATTTGTGTTAAATCCCAGGGGAGGTGGGTGGGGACCCTGAAAACAACAAATCTAGAATTTTTATCACCTCCTCTAGATGGTCCAACCATCTATAATTTGCAAGTATGTACAGTATAGGTCTATAGAAATAGGCATAATTTACAACTACACTTTCCTGAGAAAAATCTAGGAAATTATACTGCTGAACTCCTTCAAAAATGCTTGTTGCCAGAGAATCAGTATGACAGCCAGGTAGCTAGATTTCACAGAATGAGAGCAAAGAAAACTATTAATATTACTTTGACCGCTTTCATGTGCTAAAGAAGTTATTGCAAATACTCAGTTGTTACTGAAACAACATCCTTTAAGGACGCAATGTCCTATTTGTTATCGTTTTAGCTGTGCAGTATAACTAAAGTTGGAATTAATTTGGTCTGTGTAGTCCAGTTATGTAGAAAGGCTTGCTTACGGTCAGCGCTGTTTTCAACATCTCAGTATCTGATGACTGCAAATGTCATTGCAACAATAGAAGTTCCTGGGGTTCAAGGTACCTGCTCATCGCGGCACAGTATGGGTGTTAGGTCTGTGTGCGATCCTCACGGCCCAACATGGTGCAGTCACAGCGTGTTAGGTTCCCGTGGCGGGAAGAGGCAGAGTTGATTGGTAATCACTGGCTCCTTGTGTATTTCTTTGGAGCTCTGAGAGATCTATCTACAGAGATTGCTAGGGATCCATCTTGTCTGCAAAAAAAAGAAAATAGTGTATCATTGTTACCTGATTAAATTAAGTGAGTTAGTCCAATTAGATTACAAAATAAATTTAAATGAGGCTTTAACGAAGTTACAACTGGAAAGCAGAAAGTCGTTAACGAGAAGGCTAAAATTGTACACACAGGTGATGCACCAAACATTATTACAATAGGTCCACTGTCCTTTAACCAACAGGAAAATGGCAAACCTTTCATGCAATACATCCAGGACTGGCTGATGTGCTCTCCAGAATGCTGACAAAATGTCTGATGTGAAAGCCTGGGGCACAAGATGTTCACAGATAAGTGTAATAGACGGAGTTCTTCCCATAACTGGTTCACTGGGCAACCCAGCAGTAAAGTACAACTAGAAATTTTGTAGATAACCTAAATATTAGATTGGATTTCCCATTCTCTGTGTTCTGGTCACACGTGCCATTACAGACAATGTAATTTAACCTGCCAGTGCTGTCAACCTTCAGAAATTATTACCAATAATAGTTATCAGAGTCCATGAAAAAAATGTGCGTTAATGGGCATTATTACAGGCCATGTGGCACACTCGGCATCAGTCAGAATTATTGCCTGACAGGCAGAAGTAGAATTGATAGCCAACCCTCTTCCTACACCCGCCAAGCTGATTACTGACAGTTCTCCATTAGGTTCCCCCGTAGGACAGGCTGGACTCAGCGAGGGAGCCTAGGCCAACGGCAGCTGCCATGTTGGTGGTGTTTCTGATAAGACTGTAAGGTGTCTGTGTCAGTGTGCTCTGTGCCTGTATAGACAGACAGGGCAGGGAGTGGATGGGGGAAGGAAAAGATCATCCTCCACATTCTCTCGCCTCCAACCAGATGAAATAACCAGGACAAAGAGCCTGCCAGCCAGTAAATTGATATTTATTACCCTCAGGAAGAATAGCAGTCATTCCCACAAGACAGAAAACGGCATATTCAGAGGAGTCTGGAAGGAAAGGGGGGTCAGTCTGAATTAACCCTTTAACACCCAACTGAATTCATTACCCTTCTTTATGTACAGATAGATCAAGGCCTGAATCATAGATATCAGAAGGCCCAACAAAACATACACACTGCCAATGTATCTCCGTCACCCTATTAGAGGCGGTTTTCCTTCAGCACTTTCCTAGCTATGCAATTACTTATTGCCTGGATTTCTTTTAGAAGGTTAGATTATACCAATATACCATTAATAGGTGAATGTTTATAACAATTATCTTTTTTTGAGCCTTCGAAGGAAACACATATACTTGGGACACAAGATTGAAGTTTCTATACTTAAGGCCAGTGCATGTTGCTTGCTACCAGGTAAGAGCAGGTTGTTCCATCCTTTAACTAGTATCACTTAAACGAATGGCTTTACTAGCTAAAGAATTTGTAATGTGTTTATTCTCTCATTCCTTCCAGACTTTGCAGTTAGGCACCTTTCACACGGGTGGATTCCGTTCCTATCAGCAGGGGATCCACTCACAGATCCCCTGCTGTTAGGAGCACAGCAGGTGTCTACCCAGTTACTTTAGAGTGGACATTAAACAGTGCTCATTCTGCTCTATGGGTGGACAGGAGTAAACGGATTCCACTGTCCATTTACACTCGACTAACCCCCCAATACAATCCACCTAAACAGAAGAGGACTGATCCCCTTCTGTTCTTTTTTAGTGGACTGGATCAGTCCTGCAGGCAGGTGGGTATAAACAGACACAAGTCCATTTACACCCACCTGTCCAAAGGAATATATGGACCTTCTGATCAGATCCACCTGAAAAACTGATAGGCAGACCTGATTGGATCACCCATATGAAAAGGGTCTTAAAGCTCCACATCTTGGTGAAGGATCTGTCCCTGCCTGTAAGTGGATAGTAAACACAAAAAAAAAAAAAAAAAAAAAACAAACCACATCTAAAAACACAGCATACTAAATACATCCTCTCATTCTGGCTCCATGCACACTAACATTTTTTTAAGCTGGATAAAAAAACACACCGCTAACAGGTGTTGTGTTTTAGAGCATTTGGGAGCATTAGAGTTTCATTAGTCTTTTTACAGTACGTGTAGAGGAAAAAAAAAAAAAAAAGGAGCTAGAAAAAAAAGCTGTTAGGAGCTCTTTAGTAGCATTTAGCATTTTTTTCTACTAGAAAACTCTCTAAAAACATTTTTTTTTCCTAGATACTGAAGCTCAAAATATGCGTATAACCTAAAGTAGTGTGCATGGGCACATAGGATAACACTATTGGCTTCTAGGAGCAGAAAAAAAATGCTACTGTGCATGAAGCCTAAATCAGCAAGTTTCCTGTGTTAGACTGAGTACTGAGCACTGCAGAGGATCACGGATTGTGATTGGGCTACTCTCTCAGATATCTTCCTGCTGTGCAAGGGATCAGAGAAGGATTATTTAAAGACAGGTTGATGTGCTATTTGAAATACAGTGTATACGTTTTTGGGGTTTAAGAACAAATAACCGTAAAAAATGTGGTTCTTTGTTCTGCATAAAGTATAACTAAAGGCAAAACTTTTTTTTTTTTGTTTGGATAGAGTGGAGTGGAATCAGAACACCTGTCAGATTTTTATTGCTGTGTGCACCACCATTAAGAAGATTCACCCCATTTGTCATGTGTACTGTTATCATCAAACGTGAAAGTAAAAGAAAACCCCAAATTTGGGTTGTCCCCAAAATGGTAATAGATGGGAAATCTTCCAAAGGGGCGGTAGTTCCCGTATCATTGGTGACCATCAGGAATCCCTCACTTTAGGCTGCATTCACACCTGAGCATTTTGTGGCGCAAAGCTTGAAGCTTCAAAGCGCTCAGAGAGGGAAAAAAAATAAATCAATATTTCTCTATGGAAATGGTTCACATCTCCACTCCAAGTCGCCTGAAGTAGAACGCCTAAAGCTCACAAAAGTTTTCAAGCTACTTTTGTAGCTCAAATTGGACAGATTTGCAAGCTTTTGGCAAGTTTACCTAGCAACAAAATGATGCAATAGATGATATTGGGTACAATTCACTAAGCTGTGTCTTACCGCATCCGAGTATGCGGTAGGATACCGTATAGCATCTTAAAAAGTTTGAATTCACTAAAAAAAGCTAATAAAATACCGCTATAGTTATTTTATTAAGTCATGCTGTATTTTATTAGTGAAAACCATGCGTTAATGTTTCAGTGGTCAGCGGGGTTCCCCACTGACAGCTGAATGCAAAAGAAAGAATTGCCAGCAGTCAAAAATAATTTAAAAAATGGCATGAGGTCCCCTCCTCCATTCATACCAAGCCCTTGGGTCTGGTACGGATTTTGAGGGGAAAGCCAGCGTCGGGAGCAGAGCTTTTTTTTTTTTTTTTTTTTTTTCGGGTGGCGGGCATCGTGATTGACGTTAGATCTACTTCAGGGGACATTCTTTTATTTGCCTTCTTTTAATAAAGGACTTCTTTTTTCACACTACAGTTTTTTTTGTGAACTCATTTACATAGGGGGGGCTGGGATCTGGGGTCCCTCTTGCTAAAGGGGGGCTTCCAGAATCTGATAAGCTCCCCGCCAGCAGACCCCGACAACCATAGTCCGGAGTTGTGAGGAAGAGGCCCTGTAGTGTGAAAAAAAGAAAGTCCTTTATTAAAAGAAGGAAAATAAAAGAATGTCCCCTGAAGTAGATCCAACGTCAATCGCGATGCCCTGTACCATGTACTCATTCACATGAGGGGGGGC